TTCCCGAATAGGCCATCGGTGGTGATTTTTTATGATAATGAATTTGACACGCCCAGTGGGACTCCAAGGGGGCATGGACGAAGGCAGCTCCAACATCTTTCTTTGTCCCAACACTTTCTAGAATGACATGGGAACCAGGGGGATCAGTCTCAATGTCATCCCAATGCGCTAAAGGGAAGGGAGCTGCCGGGGAAGGCCAATTCCCTGGTGCTTTCGGATTACAATAAGGCTATGGATCTCCTACCCGAATAGTCATGCTGAACCTCGGAAATGTGTCACCGCAACAGGCACCGGTCTTCGTAGAAGCTACGGAAAGTTTCTGAGCTTGTCTCCCGCATTAGAGGCCTGCTCGTCAGGCCTTCCTGCCGCCGGCGCTACGCAATCTGCCACATGTTCAGGCAGTTCCCGAACAACCTTGGAGCAGGCAAAGATGGCGTTGCTACCCTATCCCATCATAAATTTGCAAGTGATCAAAGACGCAATTAATAGGATTTATGACAATCATCGATGCATGGAATCAATTGAGCAGTTCCTAGAACGAATTAGAAGATTAAAAAACAAGTGCCAAGTTCATATACCGAAGAACCAAGTGGTAAATATGGTGATAGATAACATGACGCACCAACTGCATGAAAAGTTGGCTCTCTAATGGTGTGTTTGTTTGGGGGTTTTGATTTTGAGTTTGAATAGTAAAAATTTTGAATTTGAATAGTTGTATGATGTGATATAAATAGGGATTGATGTGATGTTTTGAATGTAAAATTGATTTTTAGTATAATATAAAAAATGAAAAATAGATGTTTAATTTGATATTTGGGGGGGGGGGGGAAATTGGATGAATAGTGTAAATCCAATCCAATCCCCCAAACAAACACACCCTAAGAGTACCACGACTTTCAGCAGTTAACATAAAAAACTGTGAAGGCTGAACAACTCTTGAAAGAGGCTCTAATGGCCTGAGATCAGAAGTTACGAAGTGGAAACTATAGGGATGTCAATGAGCCGGGTTCTAGACGGGTTCTACAAGCCCCGGGACCCGCCTTGTTATAAAATATTTAGGCCCCAAGACTAGCCTACCCAAACTTCAGCTCGGCCCAGGACCCACCCCGCCCCAAACCTTCCGGGTTCGGGGCCAACCCGACTAACCTGATTTTTTAAATAAAATATAATTTATTTTAATAATTTAATACTAAAAAAGTAAGTGTTAAAGCACTAAAAAAAATTTATTTATAAAAACAAGAACAATAAAATGTTGGCGGTCATTCGCTGTGATGGCGGTTGGGGACAGACAAGGTAAACTTTTAGTTAAAAAAATAAGAATAATATAATGTTGACAGTGGTCCGCAGTGATGACAGTCGGCGACATGTGAGGCGATGGTAGTAGTTCTAATTATGAAGAAAATTGAGAAAAAAACAAACGCGAACACGAATTTGCTTTAAAATTTAGAATTATAATTTATATTTAGTTTTGTACAAATAAATATGTAATATAATTTACATTATATAAATATATATTAATTTTAATAATTATTGAAATATCCGGGTTCGGGTTCGGGTTCGGGTTCGGGTTCAGGTCCAGGGTGGAACGGGTTTTTAGTTAAACCCGTAACCCGTCCCGAACTCGGCCGAATTTAAAACTTAAAATTCATAACCTGCCTCGAAGCATATTTTTTAGATATGAACCCGCTCCATTAAAAACGGGTCCAGGGCTTACTCGCTCTATTTGACATCTCTAGAAAACTACCATGTTTATGCTCATAAAGATGCTGCTAAAGCTAAAGAGGAACAAGATGAGATATTCCTAGCTGAAATCTCCCAGAGAAAGACATATACTTACCCGGATCTTAAGCCACCCCAACAGGAGAAGGTGAATTTGAAGGTGCCATACTCTTCTGACATCACAAAGATGGAGCAGATTTTCGAGTATCTGTTGAAGGATAACCAACTTCGTCTCAATGAGGGACATAAAGTGCCAACGGATGAGGAAGTGAATAGAAAATTATATTTCAAATGGCACAGAATCTATGGGCATCAGATTGGGAACTACATTGCATTTAGGAATGCAGCGCATACGACCATTAAAGAAGACTGCCTCAAGCTAGCTAAGAAGTCTGACATAAAGATTGAGAATGAGTTGTTCCCCGTACCAATAAATATCGTCGAAGTGCTTTTAGCAAGGCCTAGAAGGCCGACATCAGGTATGGAACAGTAGGAAAATAGGCCTTCGAAAATCGGTATTTGAAAGACTTGGGTGGTCGATTAAACCCTCGAAAAGGAGTTCGGTGTGGGATAAACTTTCTCCCACCAATACGGTTGCAGATGTAAGCTTCGAGAAGGGCAGAGACGTCTGGCGAGTGACCTCAGTAGATTAGGTGGTAATTACACCACATCATACATGTCTTCCCGATCAGGCTTCAGATGATTGAAGCTGGGCCATGAACTAGAAAGCACAGAGATCGCGACCTTCTACCAGGACTCAAAAGAGGAGAAGGGAGCGACAACGCCATACCGCCCTCCTTTACCAAGAAGGTCAGGCTGGGGGGGGCAACAACCACACACGATCAAGATGCACTGCTCATTGAAAGACCAAATTAGACCTGAAAGGTCAGGCAAGGAAGCAACAACCATATGATTAGGATACAATGGTCATTAGAAGACCGAAATTAGACTTGAAAGGTCAGACAATGAAGCAACAACCAGACGATCAGGATGTAGTGACCACTGGAAGACCGAAATTAGTCCGTGAATATTCACGCCACCAGCCTCAGGCCCGGAAGAAACAAAAGCCAAAGCGTATTTTGATGAAAAGCAAATATTTTATCGACCAGAAACTTCCTATAGCGCCTGAAACAACCCAGATTCTAGATGATGAACCGATGATTTGAGCACTTAATTGCGACGAGATATCAAAAGCAAGTTTGGACATAATTGCCATCGATCAAGACCTTGAATGAGCCTTACACTACGATTGTGATTTCAAGGTCAACATAATAGGAATTTTGCCTCAAGAATTTGATTCCAACATATGGCCCAACAACCCATTAGTTCATCATGAATGACGACCTGATCTTCTAGGATTTGAAGGCAAGAGTTAGCAGGTCTGACTATCCATTCATGCATGCCGAAAATCATGCCGCTTACCTTCCCAATGGGCAGGCAAGGGGTCCTTCGCAACCGCCTCTTTTGGATTAAGGCAAAAAATGAAACTTACTCTCCGATCCGTCGAGTTAACCCACCGTTTGAGGCACAAGACCCTTTGAAAGATCAATTTGGGGGGACGAAGCTGCTCTTCGGATGACGCAGATCAACACCTTGCTGAATATTAAACAAAAGGTTAAAAATAAAATGAATGAAATAATCACCTTATTCGAGAGTTTAAGGATTAATTTGCATGGGACTACTACGAGATACCGGGGCAGTTAAGGAGCATAATGGAGCATCGCCCTCCTATATTTCTGGCAGTGGACAATGAGATTTTTAGGGAAAAAAAATTAAGAAACAGAAATATTTATCCAAAATAGATATTCATCAAAAAGAAAAATTCAGATAGATATGGAATATGAGATATTTGTGAAGAAGGTCCAGAGAGAGAATTTATCCAAAAGTAACCTTATCCAAATTATGAATCAACATTAAAGGCAGATTGAATAAAAATGACATTCGAGATGCCATTCCAGAGATCCGAACGACATTCTTCATAATTTTTACGCATTACTTTTATTTTATCATTATTTTTCTTTTAGTTTTTCAAACACTTTACAACTTTCTTTCATTTTATGCAATTTATAATGAAATTTCGACCTTTTTACTGTTTTAGTCTTATCGTATTTTTTAATTTGAATTTCGGCCTTTTCATTGTTTTACTTACTCTGATACCGTGAGATAGTCCAGATCCTTTATTGAAGAGGCCGGAGAACCCTTCGAATAAATTAATTCCGAGTGACCTTTCCGAGTAGGCCGTCGGTGACGATAATAATAGGATAATTTACCCTCTTTCCCATATACCGTGCAATATTTGGTTTCCGGCACGAAAATTTAAGTGAATAATATTAAGTAAGATAATTTGAAAATAAGGTGATGATATGAAAATGTACTTTTGTAATGAGATAAATAACATTGATCAACATATGCTATAATGTATCTTAGCATATTTATAATACAACATATGTTGAAATATATATATATATATATATAAACATATGTTGGTATCCTATAACATAATCCGACCAAATTATTACTAAATAGGTGTTGATTTGATTAAGTCAGCAAAAGATCTGCGGTTAATTATTTTCTATTTTAAAAAGTATGGTTGGATATTTGAAAAGAAAATCCTTTCATACTTGGAGTTGGGATTTCTCTCTCGTCTTCTTTTTCTTCTCTGGGTGTGTTTGTTTGGTGGTTTGAATTTTGAGTTGAAATTTGAATAGTAAAAATTTTGAATTTGAATAGACGTATGATGTGATATAAATAGGTATTATGTAATCTTTTTGAATGTAAAATTAATTTTTAATATAATATAAAAAATAAAAAATTAGATGTTTAATTTAATATTTTTTAAAAACAATAAGATCAACAGTGTATTTAAAATCTAATCTCTAAACAGACACCGCTTTGACTCGAGACAACTTCTTGAATTTCTTGAAAGAAATAAAAGATAGAAGGGAGGGATGGAATAAAATATAAAGCAAAAAAAGAAAAGCGCATTGGAAAACCTCTGATAAACCTAAAAGCGCTGTTTACGCAAACACGATTCTTTCCTTGTTTCTACTTTCTTTTAAAAACCCCGTCGCCATTGTTTCCTGCTATTTAAGAGTTGTTGTACTCGGGAGAAGGCGTCAGACACAGACGGTCGAACGTAGGTACGTATTGCGGTGTTCTTCTGGCTTTACCGGATGTTTCTCGAGGGATTGATGTCTTGAAGTGATCATTTTTACGGGTGCCAGATTTAGGGTTAGGTTTCTACTGGAGAGGTATGCGTCACTAATACTGTGATTTTTGTTTTGTTTATATATTTTTCCGTTATTCTGAGTTTGGGCATTTTTGAATTCGGTATGTTGCTGCTGGTTTAAATGTTCCAACGTTGCTACCATTAGGGTTTAGTTTTTGAGAATGAGGCTGTCTACATTGTGCATGCGCGAAGTTTTTGTTTACTTGGTGTTAGCTAGAGCTTCAATTTTGCTATATCTGAAGAAAACTGTTGGAATTGAGTTTATCTGTTGTATACTATGATCTGATGATGGTGATGATGATGATGATGATGATGATGATGAAAACTGGAATATATGTAACGTTGGATTCTTGTGCTAGGAGAAGGGGGAGGGGGGTTGGGAGTTTCATACGAGAGGGCATTTTCAGGGAGCTACTAAAAGTGGAGTCTTGGTATAAGAGTGAAATTTTAGTTAAGTACCTCATTTATCTTCTGGCATTAAATAAACTAATGTACTCCGGAAGCGCATCATAAACACGTGTCATGATATGCTTCTGCTCCCTCGATAACTTGTTTTTTGTGATTTGATTCCTATATTAATATATTATGTTACTGATATTGGAGTTTAATCGGGAGTTCTGGCTATAAATGCAGTTGAGAAGAATGGTAGCTGACACTGGATCTGCCCGAAAAGCTAGTGAAGAAGTAGATGGCAGCAGCCAGAAGAAGAAAAAAACTAGTAGAACTGATGTATCTGAACACAGCCCTGAAAAAGCTGGTGTCTCAGCTCTTAGAAGATCATCTAGGGAGACACCTGCCTCCAAACAGAGTACAACAAGCCCACAAAGTATTGGATCCCTGCCCAAACAAGCAACCCCAAACTCTCAAACTAAACGGAAATCCCATCGAGTAGTGGGTTCACCTTCATTACCACCTATAAATAAGGATTCTCACAGACAAGACAAAAATGATGTACCAACTCCCCTCAGGAGGTCAGACAGGGAAAAGAATAATAATTCATCATCCAGTTCTTTGGGTTCCAAGAAACTGGAACAAGACCTTTGCCCATCGGAATTGACAAGGAAGAGAAAGAGAGCCTTGATTCAGGCAACCTTAGAATCTGAAGAAGCTGAGCGTGACCCCAAACCTGGTACTACAAAAAAGAAGAAGATGATGAACGGGCATGTCTACAAGGCTTTATTTAAAGGACAACAGATTCACAACATTGAGTCCAGTGAGTTAAATCTTTTCCGCTATGGCGAGTTTCTACATGAAAATTTTCTCTTATTGTAGGAGTTCTCTTTAGTTTTAACCTTATGGTTGTGCACCACTAATAGAGAGCCAGAACAAGTACTCGAGAATGAAGGAGGGACAAGGCCTACAGGAGGCGGGGACGGACTTAGGCTTGCTTTCGCAAGCTTGGGTTCTTAGCATTTTTAACAGTCATATTTTATATGGGCTTTTATTCATTTATTGGGCTTTTATTGTTATTCGGATATATAAATAGGGTTAGGGTTTGTTTTGCACATTCGTTCTGGTTTCGATTGAAAAAACCGCCGTCAAGGCTGTCTTGGGCAAATGGGAGGTTCGTTTGATTATCCTTGACCTATCAAGCACAATGTGTTTTTGTTATCTTTCTTCATGCTTGTTGTATCAGTGAGTTTTTTTGTCCCATGGATGAATCTGTGGTTCTCCAATTGGGGAAATTGCTATAAAATGGCTTGTGCACTATAAATGGCAAATCCAATGTCTTTTTAATACATTGCATTAACTTCTTTCCCTAGATGGTGATATGGAGCTAGATGTACCAGAGAAATCATCTACCACTTGTATTGACAATAGCAAAGGTGTTGGCTCTGAGCCAATGGGAAGTGGGAAAGATCCAATCGATTTCCCAGAAAGGCTATCATCAATTGAGAATATGAGTGCTCCAGAGTCAGAAAGTTCAACATGTGTGGCAAGATCAAGAGATGGTTCAGTAAGTTCAGAAAGTCATGAAGAATGCGTCCATCCAAGAGGTATGCTATCAATGATGAACGTTTTAAATCTAAACGTACTAAGCACAGGAAATACTTCTGCAGGGATATCGTCATTACCATCCCCTTCTCGTAAATGTGATTATCAGAATCTCTTGGGGACTTGTATTTTATGCTCCAAATCCAGAAGGTATCTTACTACCTTTCTTGTCATTTCTGTTTTTCTAGTTAATAAATTCTTCGATTCTTTCCATTTGCAAATGTTGTTCTTTATTGCAGTTTTGTCTCCAGTAGCAGCATCATTTAACTTTCCTATCTTGAACAAGTTTTTCTGATTAACTTTTGTCATCAGCTTGAGCATGTGTAATTTGTTAATCATTGTTGCATATTGACGGTGGTATAAAGTCTTTCTTTTTAGGTGTGTGAGTTGTACAAAAAATGTAAAAGAAAACTAAGTTTCTACAAGTACGTCAGTTTTTCCAAGACTAATTCTCGCAACTTTTAATGCAGGGTAGGCTATGACTCAGCAGAACAGGAGCTATGCTCTTGCAGTATTATAAGAAATGAAGATGCCGGCAACTTCTCTTCAAAGGTTATCCTTTGATATGTTTCTGATTGATTAGCATAGGACCAACTAAAGCAAACAATAATACTGTTGTTTTGTGTTGTTGAGACACTCAATATTAATCTTCCAAACTAAACTGCAAATGTGTCAATATTGAGTTCAGAAAAAAAAAAAAAAAGAATAAGAAAGAACACTGCTTTTTGTATTTCTACTTATGTGTTTCCAGTGTATTTGAGGGACTTTTTTATATGATATCTTCATTAATTCCATTTATTGAAATGCAGAACTTTGTAGTTGAATGCAAAATTAGACTAGTTTGGGCTGAATAAAAAGAATGTCATGTTTCTTCTCATTTTTTGTGCCAGCGTGCTATGGCAAATAGGCCACTGATGCTTCTTCATTCATCTTGTGATTTATTCTCAAAAGTTTCTGTTGTTTTGTGTTGCATTTGGATTTTTTAATGATTAGGTAATTGCGAAAGCATGATATCTGACTAATGAAAGGAATTTGAGTAGTCCTTTTGGTTTATCTGCTGCTTGCTAGATAGTTTTTGGTTATCGTTAGTATTAAAAAAACCTAGTGTCCTAGCATGTGATCTTGGTATTCGGAAACAAGTCCACTAACTGACTTGGACCTGTGCTTATTCCATTTCCACTTCTTGGCTTTTGCATATAGTATAGGTTTTTATTAGTATATTGTTTCCGTAAGATTTGATTTTGAAATTCCAAGCTTTTAGAAAAATAGTAAAACAAGAGAACAGTGATTATATGAATAATCTGGATCCACTAGGAATTCTGTGAAGTAAATTTTCAACCCAACATCTAAGCAAGCATCAAGAACTTAAGGAATTTTGAGTTAACTTACCAGATTTTTTTTTTTTTTTTTTTTTTTTTTTTTTTTATTATCAGATAACTGACCAGTTTTTTTTTTTTTTTTTTTTTTTTTTTTTTTTTTTTTTTGTTGATCGGAAACTGACCAGTTTTTTTTAGTGTTATGAAATGTAGTTATAGGCTTACTGAAATTTTCATATTTTATTTTCACCACTTGACATCAATATGAAGGTTAGGGAACTTCCTAGTCAATTGAACATTGCTGAACTTTTGATAATATAATTTATATAAACCTATTTACTCTCTCTAAGTTCCAAGTGAAACTTTGGGCACCTTATGCGTGGATGTTTACTCTGTCTTTGCAATGCCACATTATTCTCTTATATATTGGGATGAATTTTCTTACACTTTCCATGTGACACATATAGCTTAACATGTCTCTTTTATTTTATTTAAAGAATAAAATTTATTAATAGTGAGGGACAAAGATTATAGAGAAAAAATTGTCTGAGCCCGATCCTGCATGAGAAGACCACAATCATAATCATTAAAATATAAAAAAATTGACTGCATGGGGAAGAGTTTGTAGTGACAATTTAATATTATTGTTTTCTCACAATGCTTTGTACACAGGCTAGAAGTAATCTTGGAGCAGGTGATCAGGGTAAGGTGTGTGGCTTTTGCTGCAGGGACGGCGAGCTCCTGTGAGTGAAATCTTGTTTCTGTTTCTTTTTCTCAATAGGCCATTTATTGTGCAAAGTTTGACAACAATAATCTCTCTGATTACTTTGTATTGACTGATCTTAAGGTTGTCTGTAGGAATTGTCTTGTTCTTTCTATCTTCATATTAACCTGCATTTTCCTTTGTAGTTACTGTGGTGGAAAAAGTTGCAAGACATGCTATCATCTGTGTTGCCTTGATCGCTCTCTTGCTAATGCTGTACCTGTGGTGTGGTACTGTTCCCAGTGTGTGAACAAGAAGTTTTTATTCGGTCCACCTTCTGTGTCGAAGGGCATGGAGTCAATTTGGGATGTTAGAGATGTAGATATATCAAATACTACAGGTCTGATATTAATCAGTTAATGAGTTTGGTTGTTTGTTTGTTCTTTTATTTTTTTTAGTTTTATTTTTGTAAAATCTTCTTTATCTTGATGAAAATCTGGTATATTTGATAACTATAAATGTTCTATAGCTGTATAGCAATCTGACACTCATTTCAAGCATGTCTGATTTTTCCTTTATACTGTATGCGAATTTAAGGAGTTCGGCAGAAGCAATATCTTGTCAAATACCATGGGCTTGGCCACATTCACAACCATTGGGTACCAGAGCAACAAGTGCTCGTTGAAAATCCAGGTCTTATCTCCAACTTCATCGAGAGAAATAAGGTCAATTTTTTTTCTTGAATCAAGTTCTTTCAGATTGCAATATATAATATGCTGTGTTAGTGAGAAATCGGATGAGATAATCTTGATATTTACTCATTCTGTAGACTGTGAGATGGGGTAAAGACTGGACGGTGCCCCATTGCCTGTTAAGAAGAAGATGCATTGAGGATAGCATTTTTGTAGCTTCCCCCTCTGTTATTTCAGTATGCAACTATGAGTTACTTGTGAAATGGCGGGGGCTTAGTTGTGATGAGGCAACATGGGAGTTAGAGAGTGCCCCCTTCCTTGGCTCTTCTCTAGGTGAGACCCTGATGGAACGCTATGAGATTCGACGGTCAAGGGCTCATCAAGGAGCTAACAAGGTAGTTGCGATTTTTCGAGAAATCATTTGGCTTGTGTTCTTGGCATTTGAATATATTTATTCAGTAGACATTTGGAACTTTTTACCACTGAATTGTGTAATAAATGTGAAGAGCTTTAGTGATTTTTTATGAGTCATTTAATGCAATTGGAATTTCTAGGCACTCATGACTTCAGATTATCTTTTACCACATTGTAATATTTTGTAGTTCTTGGTGTTCATTGTTTAATCAAGAAACCAAATTCCTAACATTATATCTTCACTGATCCCGTTAATTACATCAACTGATTTCCAGAAGTAGGATAAACCTTATTCTCTGAATAATCTGTTATGTAAGCAAGAATATACATTTCTCTGTAAAAAGTTTAATTTAGTGCTGGTTAATAGATGTTTGCGATGAGGCATTCTAGTTTGACTCATGATGGATAAGATGTTAGACATGTTTTAGTAAAGTTAAGACAAAATGTTGAAGTGAAGTTAATTACTTATTTGTATCCTACAGACAGCTGAATCAATCAACATTTTGGTTGGCCAAATGTCTCCCATTATGAGCCATTGAGAGGCATCAGCTTTGGTTGTTTAGTCATTATTCTTCTTATGGAGCATAATTTTATGCATCCACTTTTGCTGTTTGGCATGTGAGCGATCAATGATTAATGCGATCAAATCTATACGTCTTTTAGGGTATTAATTAAAGAATTTTTATTAGTTTAGGACTCCTATTTATTCTTCCAAAATAGGATCAGGTTTCCCTCTAGGGATATCTATCTTGGCAAGTATTTTGTCCACATTAAGGGTATGATTCCAAATTTGTTGTATACGTGCATCACAGTGAAATGATATTACCTAAATTTCATTTATAAATTAAAGTATCACATTTAAGTGCTATTCAGGTAGAGTTTACTTTGATAAAGAGTCTACACATTAGGTACTGGATATCATAATCATTGGTGTACTATAGTTGTCCCTTTCAGATAAGGGTGAATAGTGGTTGAACTCTAAAATGCTATAGTTGGATGACCGCTATTTGAAAACTTAAAAATATATATAAATATTTTCTTAGCAAAGTCAATCAAAATGCATATGAAATATCTATAAAATAATCTCGAGTATCATTTCAACTGATACATGAAATTTTATGCCAAAACAAAACAAGATATCAAAACATACTATTGTACATAGTATATAAGAAATAAATAACTGAATCAATACTACTGCTTAGATAAATCAATAATCTAAGTTAATCAGATTTAAAATCTAATGGATAATTCTCTTCCACATTTTTACTCCCACTTCTACTTTTGATAAATAATACTTATGTCTTCACACCAACTCACACTGCCCAGTAGCGTTGCTATTGCACACTATTAACTACTTTGATTTATACTTTATAGGTTTTGTGTACTATATATTCAAGTTTAATCCTTTTCTAATCATTTAGTTGTTTTCAATGGATGGTACTGCAGGAACACAAACGGTCTATTGTTGAACTCTCAGAGCTTCCAACTGTACTGTCTCATGGAAATGATAACATGTTGAAAAATGTGAACAAACTTCGTAAATGCCTGTCCAAGTGTCAGAATGCTGTTGTTTTTGATGATCAGGTAAACTCTTTGGCTACATGCATGCATGCATGCTATTTAATGTTCTATATTTTGTGTTATTTTCACTGCTTTAATTTTGTCAGTCAAATTTAGAAATTACTGGAACTCTACATGGTACTAGGATTCTTGAAATCAGTTTCTGTACTGAGAAATTGATTTTGGGTAATTATGGAGTCTAAAATGCTCAAACATTTTACAATATATGAAGAATGCACATCTGATTTCTCCTAGTATGTAGTTAGTGTCTATTTGTTTGACACTTTTGTGATATCTATTGGCGCAAGTTATTTGCTGCATATATCTGGTGGATGTTGAATGACCATTGTAGATAACTCTTGAGATAGGTTGTGATATTTTAGTAATCTATTGCCTTTATAATTGATCTTATTGTTTGTGCAGGAAAGAGTAATGGCTATTCTTCTTCTCATTCAATCTATGAGCCAAATTTGTTGGCCTTTCTTAATTGTCACGACATCTAGCTCATTGTCTCATTGGGAAGCTGAGGCTGAAGAACTGATGCCGTCTGTTGATGTTGTTGTGTACAATGGAAGCAGAACTGCCCGGACTGCTACTAAAACATTAGAATTTTATGATGAAGATGAGCATTTGACGCTCCAAGTACTCCTGACTTCTGCAGAAGCTTTTCTCGAGGTATAAAGATCTCTGTGATTACCATTAGACATCAGTACTTACTTACCACTCGGTTCATTTTAATGCCTCCTGTAAAAAGTTATATGGTTTACTGCTTTATCTTTGTTAACTCTTTTAGGTTGCAGCTGATGTGTGAGAATGGAATCTCCATTCACACTTAATCATTCCAACAGCTGTTATTATTTTCAGAAAGAGAACCATTTCCACCTTAAACCATGGGCTTTCTTATTCCTATGGATTAAGGGCAATTTAGTTTAGTTTATTATATATAAAAATTGTTATGATTTACATAATATGTTTGTATAAAAACTCAATATTGATTATAATATTTTTTAATTTTATATCAATATAATTATGATATAATATCATTTTATAAGTTAAGCCGTAGTGATATTTGTAAAAGGTTTAAATATATATTCTTTGATAAAATATATTTATTATAGATAAAAAAACATAATATAAATTGAATTGCTTTTTTTTTTTTTTTATAAAATTATACTTTTAATTCACTTCTTTATTCTCATTGCATGTAGGCCATGTGAATAAATTTTCAAAATCGTAGTTTTATTTCTCTTCTTTATACCCAGAAGTTGACTACCTGTGTTGGGATCAACAACACTTCAATCATGTTGTTACATGCAGGATATCGTATTCTCTATTAGAGGGCCTGGGAAAGTAATGTGGCCTTATGGTTCTGTTCACTATGGTGACATTATGATAATATATAATCTTTTGCAGGATCTGGACGTCTTCAAAAGTATAAGATGGGATACTGTTGTGATTGACGAACATGAGCAGTCTTGGGCATCTGATGATCTTGAAAAGATTAAGGAGCTGAGTGCAGACTCGAGAATACTTCTGTCCACTGGGAAGAGAAAGGTATAATTCTCATTTTGGCCGTGAATAGGTTTGTTTAAGCTAAAAATTGTTGAAGTCTTATCAAATTTCCTTCAAAATTTTCAGGATACATCTGACTACCTTAGAATACTATCGCTACTTGAATCTCAAGGTGATTTTGAGAAAGTAAGAGGCTTAAAAAATGAGACAAATGATAATATTTCTAAATTGAGAGATAGATTGTCAAATTTTATTGCGTATGGAAGTACTGCTCAAGTATCCAAGTTCCTTGAGTTCTGGGTACCTGTTGAGATATCAAAGTTTCAGATGGAGCAGTATTGTGCTAACCTTCTCTTGAACTCAACTCTGCTTCAATCTTGTTCAAGAAATGATTCTGTTGGTGCCCTTCGAGATGTTCTCCTTACAGTTCGAAAGGTTTGTTTAGCCTTTTGCGCAGATTATTTATTTATTCCATTCCTTTCGATGTACAGTTGCAAGCATCTTTATAACATGCATCTAAGATATGTTTGGTAAAAATAAAATCTTAGTCTCGAGAAAGTTGCCACTGAGTCAATTTGAAGTACTGGCATTAGGTCATATAAGGCTCTTGTGATCACTACGTTGCTAATATTCAATACTGTATAAGATATGGCATTGCAGAGGATATTTTATGCTAAGCAGTTTGATTAATTGTTATTTATTTGCAGTGTTGTGATCATCCTTATCTTTTGGACCCATCTTCACAAGAACGTCTGATTGCTGACAAGCGTCCTCCTTCTGATCTTTTGGATATTGGAATAAAAGCAAGTGGCAAATTACAATTTCTTGACATGATGCTCACTGAGATTAAGGCTCAAGGGTTGCAAGTGCTTATACTTTTTCAGGTTTAGCTGCCAACTTACTATAATACTATTTCTTGACATGATGGTGAGATGTATCTATTGGTTTCTATAGCAGTAATTGTGTATATTACTTTTCCAACAGTTGATTACAGGCTCAGGTGGGGCATCAACTGGGGATATATTGGATGACTTTTTGCGCCAAAGATTTGGTCAAAATACTTATGAACGTGTTGATGCAATTACTACTGTCAAGAAGAGGCAAGCTTCTGTAAATCGATTTAACAATAAGGAAACCGGACAGTTTGCCATTCTTGTAGAAAACCGAGCTTGCACCCAGCTTCTTAAATTCTCTTCGTTGGATGCTATTATCATCTATGCTAGTGACTGGAATCCAGCAAATGATTTGAAGGCCCTGCAAAGGATATCAGTAGATTCAAAAGTTGGGCAAATCAAGGTTTTCAGGCTGTACTCGTGCTTCACTGTTGAAGAAGGAGCTCTTGTTCGTGCAAAGAAAAATCTACAACTCGAGAATAATTTGGAAAGAATTAATCGAACCACAAGCAATTCTCTACTTTCCTGGGGTGCCATAAATCTTTTCAGAAAATTAGATGAATATCATGCTGATAGGAACTCAACTTCAGATCTAACCAGTTCATCTGATCAAGTGCTGTTGAATGAAGTCGCAAGGGAGTTTCGGGTCTTGTTTTCTGAAAATTTTGATGATACCGATTCGTATAGTATCATCTCAAAAGCTAAGTTGGGTGTTCAGAGCTACACTACAGATGCTCCGGTGTTTGGTGAGTTGCAAGTTAACTTGAAAGAGGGAGAAGAGCCTCATGTATTTTGGAGAAACTTGTTGCATGATAGAATTCCGCGATGGAAACACTTAAGTGGTACAGGTGCACAGAATCGCAAGAGAATTCATCAGTCCATCGGATCTGTGAGTAGATCAGAAACTAAGAAAGCTGATGTAGTTAAGAAACATAAAGTACTGGCAGATGTTTTGGATGAAACTTTAACTGTAGCTGAAGGTGAATTGAAAAAAGCACCTCAAGTTTCCATTCCGAAGGAAATTGAAGGTATTTTTAGGAACTTTCACTTATTTATTTAATAATTGTTTACTCTTCCGTGGATAAGTATTTGGTAATTGCACTTTACATGATATAGGGACTAATAATGAGTTTGATGCCTGTAAAGGAACACAAAAATTGCAAGAAGACAATATTACTCCAACCAATGATCAAAATTGTATGTCAGGCCAGAGATTATTTGGTCCCGAGGCTTCACGTGGCAAACAGGAAGACTTCTTCAATACTCTGCAATTGAAATTGAGAAGGCTATGCCAAAATCTTCTACTTTCGGTAAAAAGCTTCTAATTTCTTTTGTTCATTTTAACAGAAATTGAGAAAACTACTTCATTTTTATTTTTTTTTAATTTTTAAATTATATATATTATGCTTGATTTTGTATGTTTGTGTCAAAATATCTGAAAAGAGCTTCAGCTTAAGTTTGCTTTTTGTTAATCTAGTTTACATAATATAAGTGTGTTGGTTACCGATTGGATTCGTGTTGGCACTATGCTTCCAATTTATTTATTTATTTATTTTTTCAAATATTACATTATATGGGATTCACTCAAAATTTTTTAATCTATCACTCCTTCAATAAACTAATATAGTTATATATAATCAAAACTGTCATTTTTTATAAAATTAATTTATGCTAATAATAAAGAAATATTTATATTTTTTATTTATTTGTATTATATAAAATTTTATTCTCTGCAAAATGATATTCATATTGTATATATTTTACTGAAATATGATTTTTAAAACACTTAAACACATTTTGACTTTCTTTTAGTATATATTACATCATATTTAATTATTAATTAAATAAATTAATTTCAATCCAACTTCCAACTTAAAATTTACAGGTATCCAAACACACCTAGTGTTGTGAAAAAGCACCTCTCAAGTGGTTTTTTTTATTTTTATTTTTTTGTCTTTTTTAATTGAAGTGAGTAACATTATTTCTTTGGACAGGTTTAGATGAAGTAATTTTTTAGTATAACTGAACTGTAGAAGTTGTATTTGACAAGTACACAACTTCATTGAAACCATGCTTGAAGGACAACATTAATTCCATCTATTTGTTCTCTTATATTTTTGCATGCCTTCAAATGCAGAATGATGTCAATGATACAGCGAAAAGATTTTTAGAATATGTCATCCAGAATCACCATGTCAGCACTGATTCACCCTCCATCATGCAGGCGTTTGAATTATCACTGGTCAGTTTCCTTTCAGACTAAATTTCCTCAATTAAAAAGATTCAGATGGATAAATTTGCTTACTTAAATCAGTTCAAATGTGCAAATAGTTATTCTAACCATATTTGTCCATCCAATTATGTAGTATTCCTTTTAAATCCTTTCATGTCTAGGACATTACTCATGAAAATATCTTATATATTTAGAATGTCTTTACATTGGTGTATAATATACATATTAATACATACAACAGAATAAACAAGCCCTTAAAGTACAGTACCACCTGAGTCCTGACTCGTGAGCTTTATTGATAGCTCTTGAAGTAAGAGAAAAATAGATTATTTGTTAAAGAAGAAAATCTAATAAAGCATAACAATAATTAGAATTTGATAGAAACAAGATAAATAGATAAGAATGATCAAACGATATCAATCCTTTGTCCAAAGAATAATCAAACGGAATCAACCGTTTGCCCAAAAACCTCCTGGCTACTTTATTTCCAAGATTAAGGATGAAATCTCACACCCTAACTGCTATTGATTAAATACTACTGCTAAAACCTAATTATTAAAATTAAAATAAGTTTATCTAATAAGAAGAGACAAGCTCAACCCAAAATAATATAAGAAAACCTAAGCAAAGTTTTAATAGAAGACTAATAATAAAAGCCCAAGCTTGCGAAAGCAAGCCTAAGTCCTTCCCTGCCTCCGGTACACCAACAGGGGTCTTGCCCCCTCTTCATTCCCGAGCCCATGCCCTTGCTCTCTATCAACTCCATACTCCTTCAAAAGAAATGACAAAAGAAATTAGAAGCTTATTACCGAAAGTAAAAGATTTTGGCATAGCCTTCTCAATTTCCCTTGCAGAGAATTGAAGAAGCCTTCCTGTTTGCCACATGACCAATAATCTCTGGCCTGACATACATTTTGATCATTGGTTGGAGTAATATTGTCTTCTTGCAATTTTTTTGTTCCTTTACAGGCATCAAATTCATTATCAGTCCCTATATCATATAATTACCAAATACTTATCCAGGAAAGAGTAAAGAATTATTAAATAAATAAGTGAAAGTTCCTAAAAATATCTTCAATTGACAGAAACTTGAGGTGCTTTTTTCAATTCACCTTCAGCTACAGTTAAAGTTTCATCCAAAACATCTGCCAGTACTTTATGTTTCTTAACTACATCCGCTATCTTAGTTTCTGATCTGCCCATCGAACCGATAGAATGATTAACTCTCTTGCCATTCTGTGGACCTGTACCACTTAAATGTTCCATCGTGGAATTCTATCATGCAAAAAGTTTCTCCAAAATATGTGAGGCTCTTCTCCCTCTTTCAAGTGAACTTGTAACTCACCAAACACCAGAGTATCTGTAGTGTAGCTCTGAACACCCAACTTAGCTTTTGAGATGATACTATACGAATCGGTATCATCAAAATTTTCAGAAAACAAGACCTGAAACTCCCCAGCGACCTCATTCAACAGCACTTGATCAGATGAACAGGTTAGATCTGAAGTTGAGTTCCTATGAGCGTGATATTCATCTAATTTTCTGAAAAGATTCATGGCACCCCAGGAAAGCAGAGAATTGCTTGTGGTTCGATTAATTCTTTCCAAATTATTCTCAAGTTGTAGATTTTTCTTTGCACGAGCAAGAGCTCCTTCTTCAACAGTGAAGCATGAGTACAGCCTGAAAACCTTGATTTGCTCAACTCCCATAATTATATCAACCCCTCCTAGGGCGAACACATAACAATCTGCTTTAATAGTGTACCCCGGCAACGAGATCGGTAGTTTCCTGCACACCCCTTCCGACTCCTGTCTTTGCCCGTCACCTAACTGCACTCCGAATTCGCCTGTCCTATCTGGGTTTAGTCCTAGCATGGAAACAAAAGAGGAATAAATGAAATTGTGACTTGCACCTGTGACACCTCGGCCCACAAGCCCCGCAAAGCCGGGCATTTTGGAATCGTAGACTGACCTCACAGGTCAACTTGAGTTCTTTCGGCGTATTTCTGTCATCACTCACGCGCGCACCCTAAGAGACATCCCAGGGGTCACCCATAGAGCAAACACACTTAGGGTGTGTTTGTTTGGGGGACCAAAATACACTATTCATCCAATTTTTTTCCCCCAAAAACATTAAATCAAATACCTATTTTTTTATTTTTTATATTATATTAAAAATCAATTTTGCATTCAAAATATCACATCAATACTTATTTATATCACATCATACAACTATTCAAATTCAAAATTTTTATTATTCAAATTCCAATTCAAAATCCAAACCCCCAAACAAGCACACTCTTAATCTCTATTCACTGTTGGATGGCTAGCACCAGCTCATTCATACATTGGAGTTGGTCTAACAGCTGCCAACTCCGGGGGTACTACATCCTCTCTCACTTAAGAATGCAGCATCCCGGTGCACTCTAAGGATCTATCAACTGCTAGGCCCTCAACAGTAAGGTCAACGACTATAGGTTGTCGCAGGTCGGCTCTGATACCAACTATGATACCTCGGTCCGTAAGCCACACAAAACCGGACATGTCGAGGTCATAGACTGGCTCAAAGATCAACACGAGTCATTTCAGCGGCTTTTGTCCTCACTCACGCGTATTGTGGGAGACTTCTCAAGGGATCACCCATTTTCAAATTACCATACTTAACTTTAGAGTTTTTTCAGTAGGGATCTCGAAAAAAAATATATACATTGTTGACATACTTAACTTTAGAGTTCTTTCAGTAGGAATCTCGAAAAAAAATATATACATTGTTGACATGAGTAGTCTATTCAATCTACTTAATCTCTATTCACTCTTAGATAACCTAGCACCAGCTCATTCATACACTGGAGTTGACGTAGCACCGGTCCAACTCTGGGATATTACAGCACCACTATCAATCAAAATTGTCACTATACATCCTTCAACAACGTTCCGAAGCCTCGTAGTGTGATGGCCGGAAAATCACCATCTTCCTTAGAAGGATAGTCATGCCCGGGTGTAAAGCATAGAATCTTTGCCCTCATTACTTCTAGCATCTTTGACGGAAGCCTAGTGAATCTGGAACGAGTTGTGGACCGTCCAGACAATCCCAAATATATTCGCAGTGGCTGTCCTAAGGGTTGCTCCATAGCCTTAGAAGAATTTCCTCACAACGCCCCGCACATTGAAAGTAGCCTGAACGTGTCACCAAAATGTTAAAAAGTCTGATTCTCTCGCCCTCTATTCGAAAGGGACAGATCGTCCTCAATATCACAGGCCAATTTCATCATCACCTTCAAATTATTCGGGAGAAGCAGCCATAAGGAGCCATGGATTGGGCCCTTCAGTCTATTCATGAAATACCCCAAATAATCTTTCAGATAGACGTGACACTTAGCTTTCCAATTGGACAAATGACACAGTTCTCCACTGTTCCAACTTGCCTGACCCTGGACCGCCGTTCAAATTGACTACCCTTAATTCGTATGTCAAACTGCGCAACCAACACATGTATGAAATCTTCCTACGACATCCTTGGCTTCCGCACCCTTGACCATGTCAACCGGTACAAGGCTGACCCCTCCATAGCGACCACAACCGATGCCATTTTCATATTTGGTGTACAGTTTAATTTGAACTGTTGTTCGGGCCCTACCTATCCACCCATTCGGATCTCCACCCTCAAACGATGGCAACAGTGCCATTGTCGCACCTCCGTGCGCCTCATCATATGCAGGGGATAAGTCAGATCTCGTTATTCCGGCGAAACGGGATCTGACAGCTCAGATCACTTGATTTAAACAAGATAAATAGATAAGAACAATCAAACGAATCAACTGGCCTCCCAAAAGCTTGTAGGTTACTTTATTTCAAGACTAAGAATGAAGTCTCAAACCCTAGCTATTGTTGCTTAAACACTACTAATTATAATAAGTTCATCAAATATGTAAGAGACAAGTCCAACTCAAAATAATAAAAGAAAGCCCGAGCAAAGAAATAATGAAAGACTGATAAATAAAAGCCCAAGCTTGCAAAAGCAAGCCAAAGCCCATTCCCACCTCCGGTACACCAACGGGGGCCTTGCCCCCTCTTCATTCCCGAGCTTCTATCAGAATTTTATCATTCCTTTTATTAGTAAACCCCGACATGTTGGAAATAAATTACATCAAGTCAAGCAGGACAGAATTTAAGCTATTTGCTATGGTGCATTGTGTGCCACTGCAAAGACCTGTTTAGAGCCACAATGCATGGTGTGTCGAATGACATAAATAAGTTTGGTACAGAATTATGTGATGTATAAAACATTTTATATCATAAACACTATCCTTATAGCTTTAATTTATTGTATAAATTACAAAATAGTGTGAATGATGTTGGAATGAAAATTTAGAAACATCAAATCAAACCCAAATGAAATTACCTTACATTGGAGATTAAAGAGGCATCTTGTACACGTGGATTAGAGGCACTTAGTCAAATTTCACTAGTGCACCTTAGTAAAATCAAATGCTTTGACATGAAGATAGTGCTATGCTGATGCTATGTGGTGAAATCAATGCCATGCGCCATGGTGCAGCCAAGGGCACACCATTCTGCTAACCTTGAGAGGAGTTGAGAGGACAATTCTAAGGTTGAGAGGAGTTGAGAATTTTAGGACCAATGAAAGCTGGAACATTTTGTGTAGTTACTTTTCTAATTTGTATCTTATATTTTGGATTGATAAATTGATCTCATAAAACAAACATAATTGATTCTTCATGATTTCATAAATTGTGCGAATCCATTTGCTTTTTGATCTTCCAGTGTTGGATTGCTGCCTCGATCAGAAAACGGAAGGTTGATAAGAAGGCTTCCCTCATGTTAGCACAACAGCTCCTGAAGTATCAATGTACTGAGGAACAAGTGAGTTCTGTTTATTCCAAGATGCGGCAACTAAAACGAATGTATCTGCAAAGTTCAGATAATGCTGAAGACAACACCAATGGACAAGTTCATGGTTTGTTAGGTGAAGACAACACAAGTGGAGAACCATCTAGCGTTAACCAAGAGAGCCCACAGATTGTGCAACATAAGGAAGTGCTTAAAAAATGCACTAAGCTTATAAAAAAACTCACGCAGAGACACCAAAAGGAAATTGAAAAGTTCCAACAAATTTGGCAAGAGAAAAGGAGTAAATTAGAGACCGACCACAAATTAGAGTCGGCTCTTATCCGATCTATACATCAGGATAAAGTCTCTCGAATGAGCAAACTCAAGCTTTTGGAGGATAATTTTGCTAAAAAGCTTGAAGAGCATAACCTCCGGAAGAATGTGAAGCTTAAAGAGCTTGAGGAAAAACAATTTGCCATTCTGTTTGAGGAGAAACGGAAGGTGGATGAAGTGAAAGCGAAGGTAGAAGAGTGTGCTAGAAAATATAGAGCTGTCAATGGGCAAGAATCACTCAGTTCCCATTCTGAGGCTGATGCAGGAGGCCTTCAGCCAAGTGCAGGTATGGGGGAGGCATCCCCCATAGTAGGGAATGTTGCCCCACTTACCATTACAACAGAGACTGCACTGGCTGAAGCACAAAGCAATGAAGCTCTTGTTGAAAATATGTCGAGCGGTAATTTGCAAACTGATGCGGGGGAAATCTCACCAAAATTGGATATGACCGAGCTTCTTAATCAGCCAAAGGATTCACATTGTATTGATGAAACTGTTGTAGGCAACTTAGCTCCCACACTTCCCATTACATCAGAGACTGCACCAGCCGAAGCACGAAGCAATGAATCTCCTGTTGAAAATATGTCAAGTTGTAATTTGCAAAATGATGTGGCTGAACTGTTGCCATCATTGGATATGGCCAAGCTTCTTAATCAGCCAAAGCATCTGCATTGTATTGATGAAACTGTTTTAGGTGACGTATCTGCTCCAGGGGTGCTGGATTCTGGTGAAGGTGAACTAGTTGATGCAAACGAAGGGGCTGGGGTGGCGTCTGAAACTGGTCCAAATGGAAATATTGGGAACATCTGCACTCTAGAATCAAGTAGTGCTTCTAAGAAACAGTCGAGCAAGGGAAATGAAATTGCTGATACTTTGGTGAGCCAGAGAGATGAATCTTATGTGGCTGCAACTGCAGGAAATCTGGAGCAGACATCGGATACTGCAGTGACGAGGCTATCTAGTGACAAATCACCAATAACTGAAAATTCTACTGAGTTGCATATTCCATCTGCTGATCCAGCTCCGGGTTGCAATGTGTCTGAAGATGATCGTGGAAGAAGCTCTTCTCCAACTGCAGAGCTTTGCAGGACACAAACACTTCCGTATGAATCTATTCCTGGGGATGGTCAGAGCTCGGGAACACATGGCATTGGTGGTGATATAGCACCTAATCCCGATGATGGTCATGGACAAGCTATTGAATCTGAACTTCCTCAGAGTAATGTGGCCACAGCTCCAGTTGGGGTAAGTTCAGCAGAGCCGACAAATCGAGTTGTTCAACCGGTAACAGTTGCAGGTCAAAGGTTTGGTTCCGTTCCCCATCCAACACAACAACCTGCTCATTGGAATCCAGCTCAAGTACTGCATCCTGACCCACTTCAAACTGAGTTAGAGATTATGTTTCGTGAAAATGAACTAGTAGAAAAGAACCAAGCGAGCTTGGTAAGTGTTGGATTTCTTTTTTATCGTGTTTTCGTTTTCGCTTGGCTGACAGTTACCTTTTCTTACAGTTGTCGCAACTGAACCATGATTGTGAGAAGGAGGTACAGGAACTTATTGCTCAAATACGTCTTAAGTACGACCTGAAAATTCAGGAGGCTGAAGCTGAGTACAAGTCGAAAAGAAATGAAATGGAAAGGAGAAAGAACATCCTTTATACGCAAAAAATATTAGCTGAAGCTGTCAGATCCAAGTGCTGGGAGACCAGGAGTTCAGGACTCCCGAGCATTCAGCAAGGTATCTGATTCGACAATTCTGATTCTGAATGCGTTCTTTTTCTGCCTAGAATATCTGCAACCACATTATCTTTACCAAGATTTTTGAATTTTCTGTATCCTTTGCGGTAATTTTGATTTTGTGATCATTAATCAGAGTCCTCGATCTCTCTTCCCCTGCCCCCTCCTGGACATGTTGATTTAGGGAATGAAGTTACCCTATGAGATTACTAATTTGGACAGTTAAATCATATGATTGATGAGATTCCTTTCGTCTTTATTCACTAAGTTGCTTTAATTTTTTAGAACATATAGGATAATTTTTTGGTAGAAAACCACCCCAGTTATTAGCATTGGCCGCTAAAGTTAGCATTTCTTGTCGCTCATTGTTTCCCACTCTCTATTTCCATTTCTGCTGATATTGTGCGTATCTCAAATCTGATTGCCTGTTATTTGTTTGCTCCTCAAAATTGGTTCATTATTATCCGACTCAAAAAGTGATTACCATGTTGATGTTTAGAATTAGCAATATTCGGTATTCTGATTATTTACATATGCAATGAACTTTTCAGTCATTAATCGCCAATATTGATGTTTGGTTTTGTTGCAGGCGCCCCATCGATGTTAACCCAACACCCTCCTCAAGTCCAATCCCCACCATCAGTCAGACCTTTCCCGGTGCCATCTCCGAGTCACCCTGCTCCAGTCCAGCGAATCAATACTCAACCCCAGCGTCCAGTGCACCCCACCCCACCCTCCGCCCAGCAGATCAATGCTCCTCAGCAGCGTCCCAGGCACCCCTCCCCCACCCCATCCCACCAGATCAGTACTCCACCTCAGCCGCGTCCCAGGCACCCCTCCCCCACCCCATCTCAGCTGCGCCCCGGGCAAGGTCAAAATGCTGCTCCATCCAGACAACCTGTACAAGCACCGCCCCCCAGCACCCGACCCCTTGTTATCAACACCATTAGCTCCTTACGCAACACCCGGGTCAGCGGAGAGATTCGTTCACCAGCACCACACCTCCAGGCATTCAGATCTAGGCCGCCCATTCCGGTTTCCTCTTCTCCAGTGGCGCTCCAGTCTTACCCCTTACAGCCATTGCAGCTGCCGTTACTACCAAGTATGGGTGGTTCTCAGGACAGGCCGCCTGAGCTGCAGACGGCTCCTACACTCAGTCAATCCATGCCCACCTCGGAGACGAATCATTCGGCCCCGGCTAGCGATGTACAAAAGAAGCAGGAACCTGCACGACCGCCAGGTTTTGCTTCTTTATCCGACGAGGAGTAAGATGGTGATGAAGTTGTGTAAAATCATGTCTCAAACTGTGGAATTGAATGTAGTGTACAATCAACCATCCCTTAATTCTATGTTGCAGCTTGTTACTAAAACCACAAGTTTTTTGAAACTCTGTTGTATTTCTTTGAGAAAGATTCAATAGCATGGGTCCATCAATGTTTTACCTCTTCTTTTCTTTTTTTGTGAACTACAGAATGTTACAAAGATGGGTATTTGATGATGAACTTGCTTATGTTTATTTACATTGTTATTCTATTGAATTTTATAATTCATTACAGTGAATTTTATAAGCACAATGCTGACAATACATCGATTGTTTGTTTGTTTTATAGGTGTTGATTGAAAGAAAGAAAGAAATCCAATATAGTATTGATTTGTCCAGCCAATATTATAACCATCTTGTTATTTATGTTCAATACAATTGGTTTGTTTGTCTTTACCATATTTTTTTGGGATATGATCTTTAATACTCTATCCGTCCCAATACAATAGTATTCTTTACTATTTTTGTTCGTCCCAAATCAATAGTCTTATTTTCATAAATAATCATATCACTGTAAAATTACCCTTACTTTTTCATTTTTATTGCACAATTGTCACTATTTTTTACACTAATACACTCGCTCGTAAAGGCAAAAAAATCTTTTATGCATATTTTTTACCCGTTACCAATATAATATCAATATTTTTTAAATCTCGTACTTAACTCAATTAAGACTATATTTATGGGACGGAGGGAGTATATTATCTTTTGTTTTTTCACAAGAATCAACAATCAATATAAAATATTTTTTTGGTTCACTTAATAAGTTTCTATTCTATATTTTGCTAGTTAATATTAAAAATATATAAGTGTCATCGATATAAAATATATTTTTTTCACTTAATAAGTTTATATTTTATATTTTGCTAGTTAATATTAAAAATATTTTTATATTTATATATTTTTTATTAAAATATTATTATATTTGTATTATAATACACTAATAAAAATATGTCTTTTTTACTATATTTTTATATCATAATTAATATTCAAATATTACCGTTTCTAGGATCAGAAGGAACCGCTATAATAACCACCATGTCAACTTATTAAGTAGATAGAAGGAGTATTATTTTTAATATTATTATGTTCTGTATTTGGCTTAAAAACAAAAAAATATATATATTATAAACTAAAACACTAAACAAATTATTATATTAAAACTTACATATTTCCCAATGAGATAGGCAAGCGTCATCAGAATCATTTCCTACAAAAAATTATAATCTTTATTTTAATATAATGCAATTATCCATATAATAAGCTGGTGATTTTCAGCTTTCTTTATAATCTTTGTTTGTTGAGAATTTAGATTTTGAGTTCAGATTTGAATAGTAAAAATTTTGAATTTGAATAGTTGTATGATGTGATATAAATAGGTGTTGATGTGATGTTTTGAATGTAAAATTAATTTTTAGTATAATATAAAAAATAAAAAATAAGTGTTTGATTTGATGTTTTTGAAAAAAAAAATGAGATAAATAGTGAATTTAAAATCCAATCCTCCAAACAAACACACCCAACTGTGCATCTAATTATTTCTTAGATTGAATATTGGTCTTGATTTAGTGATAATAAATATACAAGTATAATCTTGGTGATCATAGCTTCTTTACTAGTACATGAAAGTATGATTGATTAATATTTTACCTGACTTATTCTTGTATTTAATTTAATGCATTGGAACCCAAAATATATACAGGTTCTATACAATAATGTTGTGTTTGGTATAGAGAAATGAGGCCAGAGAAATAAAAATAGTATCATTTCTCTTGTTTGTTTGAGTCAAGAGAAATGGAACTTTGGGAAATAAATCATTTCTATTTTTCTGTTTTCATTTCTCTCCTATACGCAGAGAAATTGAGAGAAATTATGTTGCAGTATATATATTTTTTAATTTTTAAATTTTTTTTACTATTTAATTTCTATAATTTTTTAAAAATTATATTATTTTAATTTTACAAAAAACAAACTTAATTTATTTTAAAAGTATTTAATTTTTACGATATTTTAAGAAATTATACTAAAATATAATCTTAAAAAACATCGTATATAATTTATAATTTTTTAAAAAAAATTTATCAAAAATATTTTTCATGAATTCTCATTCGTTAAAACTCTTTTTTTATCATGTTAATCGTTTATTTTGTTTGCTCATTCATATATCTGCTTTTTTAAAAAAAATTTCTCAAATCAATTCTCTGTTTTATCAAACAAGAGAATTAATTCTCATTCTCTGCTCAATTCCATTTCTCTCCAATTCTATTCTCTACTATCATTTCTCTGCAATTCCATTCTCTGTACCAAAAGCCCCCTAAGGGTGTGTTTGTTTGGGGGTTTGGATTTTGAGTTGGGATTTAAATAGTAAAAATTTTGAATTTGAATAGTTGTATGATGTGATATAAATAAATGTTGATGTGATATAAATAAATATTAATCGGATGTTTTGAATGTAAAATTAATTTTTAGTATAATATAAAAAATGAAAAATAGATGTTTGATTTGATTTAAATGTTGATGTGATATAAATAGATGTTTAATTAAGCAACCTGTTAATCGTCTGATCGATTGGCCGGTCATTTGGTCAAACTGTTGTTTAGTCACTTGAAAGAGCGGTCAGTTGGTCGCTTGATTGGGCGATCGATGAATCGTCTGGACGAATGGTTATTCAGCCGATTGAAGGGACTGGATGGTGGTCGCTTGATTGGGCGATCGATGAATGGTTGTTCAGCCGTTTGAAGGGACTGAATGGTGGTCGCTCGAGTGGGCGACTGATTAGTCGTTTGGTCTAGCGACCAGTTAGTATTTGGATTGGTCGGTTGGTCAATCGTTGGGTTATTCAGTAGGTTCAGTCGGTGGATGGTCCAAACGATTTCTCAGTCGAGTGGTGATTTATGATCCGTCTGAAAAGGCGAAGGTTGTTTTCAAAGTTATAGGGTCGAGTAAACGGTTGCTAAATATAAATACGACAAAAGACGGTTTTTCAGACGGTTGTAAACACGATGAGGTTTCTCTATCAGTTATAACTGGTAGTGCACGATATCATAACTGACTTAGAAGGCATATAAGGGAAGTTACAAGCGGCGAGCAGACTGGACAAGTGGAAGGCGGGCAAGAGGAGACGTAGCAGCAGGTGTGCCGGTCGGACGAAAAGCAGTTCTAAGACGGTTGAGAGAAGTTACAACCGGCGAGCGGATATAAAGACACGACTTGGTTGTGGCGGTTGACATAGGTTTTAAATAGGTATGTTCATGACCTAAAGAAACCATCTTCAATCGACGTCAGATTCACTGGAATTTCTTTTTGGGATCACCATTTACTTTTACAGAGACCTGTAGTAGTTATTTTTCCTATTTTATTTATGTATCATACGGTGTCTAGGGATTCTTAAATCTCAGACATTTATTTTAATCAAATTCGAAGATAATTTCTATTTTCGGGTTTTACTTTTTAAAAAATTATATCAAACTATAAACATATATCTTATGACAATATTATAACTAAATTTTATTGTATTGATATATATTACTATATTGCTATAATTAGAAGAAAAAACATATAAAATAAATTATATTATAATTTATAATAAGATTATTAAGATATTTTGGATAAAAAAAGATAACCATATCATACCATCAAACAAAGTAATAATAAATTTGTCTCTTAACGGATAGCTTGATGGTGTAGGAGTTGGACTTGTGACCGTCAGATCTACCCCAATATATAATTCAAGTGACATTGATCAAGAATTTGCCTATACTAAGCAGCATTTTAAAGTATGATGTATTAATATATTGGGTTTAGTGTGAGATTTTTGTACTACACATGCACTTGTGATAGACCAATTGTGACTTACGATGCTAATTCAAAATAATTATACCCTAATAACAAAAATATCAAAAACTCTTAAACATTTTCACTAACCCAAAAAAATTTTTTTGCCTCTTTGAAATGAGAATATTTAACAATACCTCATAATGAACTTGTACATATTTATTTATTTAAATTGCATAACCTATCTCACAAGTCATGGGAGTTGTAAATTCGAACTTACAATTTGGAGGTAATATATATATATATATGTATGTATTGTTGCATTTAATATAGTAATTAACGATAAAATCATTTATATTTTTGTTGATTATATATATATATATATTAATTTTATAGTAATTTTGTATTCTACAAATAAAGTTAACATAAAATTGAATGATACAATAACTATGTTATTGGCATGAACTACATAAAATTTCAATATAATTATTGCTAACTTTGCAGTCTAAAAGTTTATTCACTTGTCGTTTAAGATGAACATTATTGTCACAGGCAATAAACATGGATATATATATATATAGAATAAAGGAAATATTGCAACGAGATAAACCAAAACCAAAACCAAAATCAAAATCAAGATAATGATATTCTCTAATATCATATTGATAAATTTAAAATAAGTTTATTTATTTTTTCAAAAATGAAAAAATTATATTTCTCTAGAAAATTTAATATATAAAAAAAATTCTTTCAAATCATTTCACAAAACAAAAATATCGCGGGTCCGAATGTCAATATGTAAATCTTCAAAACGTTGAACAATCATAAAGTATAATTCTATAATGTTCAAGATATAAATATAATACATCTTGTAAAATATAGTAATTGATAGCAAAAGGTAGAAACTAAAAAATATTGGGATTGTTCTTATTTTTTAACAGCACAATTTTCAATAAATATTATTAGAAAGATTATATTATATATATATATATATATTAATACAGTATATCTTTTATCTTGCATAATAATATCACAAAAAGGGTTTTAAAAAATCTTTAAAGCTCATTAATTTTATATTTTTATTTTTCTGTTTTTTTGAATGGCATTGGCTGTGGCCTGTTTACAAGTTTGTCATTAAACTACACTCTCATTTCCATATTGTAATTTGTTGGTAGAGTTTAAAAATAATAATAATAATAATAATAAAAGGTCTAACAATTTTAACCACATCTTAAAGCAATTAATCCTCCAATTCAACAACCAGACCATTTTGTAATATATATAAATAAATTTCTATTTAAAACATTAACGCTTAACAATTTATTTATATCACATCAAACAATATTCAATTTAAAATTTATATTAGTCTAAAACACAACCAAAAAACCCATAAATTCTCGAATATGTAATAATTTGAGAGTATTGAATCAGCATAGTGCCAAAAATGCTTACAAAAGCCTACCAAACAAACCCTTGTGTTCTTTTGTGGAATTTTATTTTTTTCGGACATCAATATCTATTTATATCACATCAAACAATTATTTAAACAATTATTTAAATTCAAATTCGCAAATCAAACCAACAAACAAACATAAGATAATCACAAATTCCAACAAATTGAATCATGTTCTTAGGAGAAGATAATCACAAATCTAAATATAAGATGAACTCAAAGTCCCATTGAATTTAAGGATTAAGAAGTATTTGTCCCACATCCCTAACATAGTATCAATCAATAATCTCATCATCTAAATGTCAAACAGGATCACAAATTCTATGTCACACAACAATTTCAATTAGAGGGAGGCTAATCCCTTCCAAAATCGAACAAAAACTCACCTATCTTATTCGACTTGTTTCGCATCGAGGGAGGGCAGAATTGCAATGGCATCACCGCGGATCACTACAATGTCGCCGGTTTTAAAGCATGTCGTCGCAAATTTCACCCTGAAAACAACACACAACCAAGTAAGAATTTTTTTTTTTTTGGCTGCTGTTAATACTCCGAATCAATATACTCCCTCCGTCCGCCTCCAAGGGTCACATTTACCTTTTGCGTCATTGTACCTCACATTAAAAATATCCTTATATTTGTATAATTTTTTGTACAAATGTCATTCTATTAGTATTATAAGACACTAATAGAAGTATTTTTGCAATTTTTTCTTAGTTTGTACTACGTCAGGCAAAAAGTAAATGAGACTTTTAGAGCCGGATGGAGATAGTATTTAACATGGTGATAAAAACACTTCAAATATAACATAACATGTAACAAATGGACAAACAATAAACAAAATATGTTATATAATATAAATAACATACCAACCGACAACATGTAATATACACGTGATAATAATACTGATAGACACATCATATGTCCCGTTAGTACCATAATCAAGTTTTTTTTTTTCTTGTTTTTTTTTTGGCGTTGCTACCGTACGACAACGCTAATTGTGTAACCATTTGCCACACTCATAGCTCCGATTCCGAAAAAAGATTAAGAATAACAATGGAGAATGATCCATTGCAAAGTCTATTAAATCTTACACATATTTTTGTTTGGCCATTTCTCTAATGTTGGTTGCCTTAACTTCACAGATGATCTCGTCACCGGCAAAAGCCGGCGACCGGAATTCCAAACTCTGTTTCGCATAAACAGTTCCTGGCTAACAACATCAACATCAACATCAATTATGCCCCAATCTCCAAAAGAATAAATTCCAATCACATGTATGCAGATGCAAAACAGAATGATCGATACTCACAAAATGAGAAGCAATTATCCTCGGAAACAGAGAAGCAACCAGCAATCCGGGGACAGGAACATCCACGAAGCCATAATCTCTCGCCATTTTCGCATCGAAATGCAGAGGATTGAAGTCCAGGCTCAGTTCCGAGTACCTTGAGATGTCCGATACCGAAAACACTCTAGATTGCTTCAAAACGTCGCCATTTTTCAGACGATTCAGCGCCGATGAAGACGAATAGAGGCGGAGAGAAGCGATGGAATTCCATAAGGATGGTTTCCCCATTGTCGAATTCGACGCACTCCCTGTCCTTCAGTCAAGCATTTTATCGAACACTTTGTATGCGCGTACAGTGAACCCAATCGAATCGATCCCCTTATCCTTGGTCCGTCTAATTCACAATCTGGATTGAACATAAAGAGTCGTAATTCGATCAAACTCATACATTAATAAGCCAAAACGCTGGGAATCTTAGAATTTGATGATACCAGATTGCACCCGTCAAAGACATGAGTGGCGGCGGATTTTCTTCATATATTTCTTCAGTTCTATAAAATGTAGGCAGAGAATTTAAGGTGACTAAGCAAAATTGTCAAAACTTGTACAGATTTACAAAGGATCCCTTAAAATGGATCGAATGAAATTATATATTATAAGAGCATTATATATTCAAAATATCAATATCAAATTTATTTTTTATTTTTTATTTTTTTATATTAGAAGATCAATTATACATTTCAAACGTCACTATTTATTTATAGTATTATATCAAATAATCATTCAAATTAAAAAAATTATTATTCAATTCGAAATCTAAATTTTTAACCAAATATGTCTGTTAGTAATTTTTAATTATTAAATATATTATTTACAATATTAGAATTATTTTTATTTTTAATCCTACTTCGAGTTTGATTTTTCTTATTATGCTTGACTCGGAATTTTTGGATTACACCCATTTTTGTTTATTTAAATTAAACATAACTAAAAATAGAGATGGTACCGTGTGATATATTAAAATTAAAGTCATGTCGCATACTTTGATTTTGTAATCTACTAAATAATTTTCTGTCAAGAATCTCTGTTTTGCAGATTGTCCAGAGTTTCGAATCGATCCAAAACTCAACAGCTATTCTGATATATATTGATAATGGTAAACTATATATTCATAACGTATCGAAAAAGTTCGGTTCAATATTATACTGAACTTTTTAGCATACCAAAAGTTTGAGATTTTTTTGGTATTTTTTGGTATGATGTGCGTCGTATTTCGACAATTCGATATTTTTTACATCGAATTAAAAATTAATTGTTAAAATAATTATGAGTAAAAAATTTGAATATTTTCACCCAACAAAACACTTTCAATACGTTTTCATAATTAATATTATAAAAAAAATACAATATAACACATAGTTACATAATATATAATATCTATTTTACACACTATAAAAAGTCAATAGTTCGATATAAAGTATTATTTCTTCTTATTTGTTCAGTTTCCGTAGATACAAAAATTTATATACAATATAATTAATAAATAATTATATATCAAGATTAGAATAATTAATTAGTATCATTAAGATTAAAAAATTATTATAAAATTTAAAATGTAACTAAAATGTCTAATCATTTTTTTAAAAAAAGAAAAGATGTCCCGTAACAAAGTATGTATTTTATATTTTTTTTTAGTAATTGTACTATATATTTAACATTACAAATACACTTACAATTTAAAATTATTACGCAAGTGATATAACACACATTATTACTAATAAGGTTATTTTAGTTATTTTTATTTTATTTCTATTACATATTAATATAATACTAATATACCTTAAACTGTGTAAAAAATGCAAACTAATATCTATTTAAGGAATGGATGGAGTGTAGTACTAAAAAAAATTAGAATACGTATTTAAATATTTTAAAAAATTATATCGCAATAAAAAAATAACAATATAGATATCATTTTGTAGAAAATAAAATTTTCTATGATACAAGTAAATATAAAGTACATTTATTTATTTATAATTAATATAAACTAATTTTATAAAAGATGGTAGTTGTAAATATAAATAAAAGTACTCCCTCCGTCCCACATAATTTGTCACTATTTTCTATTTTCATCTGTCCCACGTAATTTGTCCTTTCTATTTTTAGAAATATAATTATGCACTTTAATCGCATTTTAAATTTTAAATTTTATAATTTTTTTAATTTTAATTAAACTATTTACTTATCTTAATCTTAATCTATAATTATTTTTACTAAATAATAATTATTTTTACTAATATACTTCTTAATTACTTACTAAATATGCTTTGGCTAAATTCCTGTGTTTATAGTAATACACCTATATTACGTGGGACGGAGGGAGTATTTATTTTTTAAGAGAGATAAAAATTAAAAATGTTTTAAGTGGATTATACGATGAAGTTATATATCATGTAGTTAATTAAGTTTTATATTTGTTAAGTTGTTTGATTTAGTAATTTTATCCGAAATATAAAGATGTCAATGGTAATGAAATATAAAAAAAAAAATAAAAAAATATGTCAATTAATATAAGATAGAGAGAACATATCAATATTTTTATAATTTATTATTACTTCTTCTGTTCCATAACTATAGTCTGAATTGGGTTTGACACAAAATTTAAGGAATATTGATATTATATTAGTGGTGAATAAAAAGTATGGGTAATAGACTTTTTTGCCCTTGTGAGTGTATTAGTGTAAAAAATAGTGGCAATTGTTTAATAATAATGAAAAAATAAAGGTAATTTTATAGTGACGTAGTTATTTATGGAAATGAGACTATTGTTTTAGAACAGACAAAAATGGTCAATATGACTATTGTATTGAAATAGCGGGAGTATTATTTAACTACTTATTAAATTTATTGCATAAATTTATTTTTTATTATATATATATATATTTAATTAATATTAGTATTTCATTATCAAACATCTAAATGCTACAAAGTTCAGTCAATTAGTTGATAACCTTATTTTATTTAATTGTCACAAGACCTAGCTAGAAACTGCAAAAAAGAGTTATGCACTATATGAAAGTACCAATAAAACGCTTTGTTTACTTGAAATGTTTTGATTTTTATTTTGATTTTGAATACTAAAAATTTGAATTGAAATAATTGTTTGATGTGATATAAATATATATATTAATATGATATTTTGAATGTAAAATTAAATTTTAATGTAATAAAATTAGGGATATCAACAGAACCCACAAATAATAAATCAAGAATAGAAAAAATGAGACAAAGATAAAAGGAGAAGAAAACAAAAAAATTAAAAGCATGTGACAAAAAATAAAAAAAAAACTAAAAGAAAATAAAAGCAAAAAGAAGAGTAAAGTAAATTTCATAAAAATTAAATAATATTCTATCCCAAAATGATATTTTAAATAACAAAATATGTATATATTTAATATAATACTTTGTATAAAGACTATCATCAAAATTCTAAAATATGTATAGATAAAAATAATATACAGTTTTTAATTTATTTGTATTTTATAAAATATATTTTCTCCATCCACTTAATAAGTTTATATTTAACTTTTCTTTATTGTAAAATCATTATATTTATATCATAACACACTAACAGACTAGACCGTATTTTTATTATTTTTAAGTATGATAGTATGATTTATTACACAATAGTTTTTAATGTATTTTATCAAATATTTTTAAATTTATTTTAAACAAACATTATCTCTTTATTCAAAATTTAGAATCTCTTTATTTCTTTTATTTATTTATTTATTCTAATTTAGTTTTTATTTCTGTTTCTTTAAATAATTTGAATATATTTTATAAAATAGATGAAATATATTTTTATGAGGATTAAAAAAATTGCAAAAAAACCACAATCCGCGGGTCCGTGTGTGATGACGAATAAATTATTCCTTCTACGAATAAATGTGAACGAGAGAAATGAACCAAGAATTTATGTCGGCTTTGAAATCTTCTTGAAAAACACAGCGAAAGAGAACGCCCGCCGTGGCTAATAATAATAGGGAGGAAATGTGATGAAGCTTCCACTAATGGCGGCATAAATAACAAGGTAAGTACGAGAGCATGTTTTTTCACTTCATTCTCTATTAATAGCAACAGACAAAAAAAAAATGGCAGTAATAATAAACAATGGATTTGTAGGAGACGAATACAAATACGAATTCAAATACAATACGGTAAAGAATAATAGTGTTTAGTTAGATACGTGATGTGATTGATGTGCTGTCCTCCGCTGCTTCCTTTTCTCCTAATTGCAATTCAAATTTGAGTTCGACCAACCTAAATGCACTGTGATTTGGCATTTATAGCGGAGGCGAAACGCCGATTCCAGAATAAGCCCGGCACCAATTCTCAATTGATTCTTTGGGGGTTGTTTCTCGCCGTATAAATCGATCATCTTATCCCTTTGTTTCTGAGCAATCGGTTGGATTGTTGGTAAGCCCTCCAAACCAAACCCTTCTGTTTCGTATTCTTCAATTTAATCATCCATGGATTTGAAGAACTTTTTTGGGGGGAATGGATGAGGTATTTGTTGGGATTTATATCGTTTTGTATGTTTGGGGATTTCAGGATCGATTTTGCGATATTAGGGAATTTTGGAATGTCGGTTGGGGTGGTTGTCGGGGAATTTAAGTGTGTGTTTTTATGGTATTTTTGGGAAAACGTTTACTTGTTGATGCCATTGTAATATGTGCTTTGGGATTTTAATAAGGTAGATCAAAGTTTGAATGATATAATATTGTGCTTGATCTTCCAAAATTGTTTGAACTGTAACTTGTATTTTGCCTCTCATTGTAAGTCCAATTGATTCTGTATGTTTTACATTATTTTTAGCTTGGCTTGAGCATTAAGAGCTTTCGACGTTGGAGCTGCTGTTTTTTCTGTCTTCTAAAGTTGTTCGAGCAATAGATTTGTGTACTCGGGGAGGCCGTAAATTGAGATCGAATCACTATAATGGGAACCTCACATCGCAGGTTGTGGAGCTGCAAATTTTGAATTTTTGTAGTTTAATCATAAGATGGATTGCTTACATTAAATTTTGATTCTCTTTGTAGTGGGGTTTCTAAGAAGTCGAATGACACTGCCCGACTCCTTATAACAACTGTCATGGGGATGACGTTGGGGTATTTTATAGGGGTTTCGTTTCCATCGGTTTCTTTGGACAAGGTATGATCTATTTGTAGTGTATCTTGCTTAGTGGATGATGCCTCTTCCTTATTATCTGCATTTTGTTATTCATCTATAATTGTATTTTACACTGCTGACAGATTAATCTACCCTCAAGTCTGATGTCATCGCTTGATGTAGCTTTTAATGAGGAATCTCAGATTTCTGCTCGTCGGGATTTACCTGGGAATCGGGGTTCAAGTGGCAGTAGTACTTCTTTGACACCTAAGGTGGTTCTTTTACTTGTCCATTCTTGCATTGACTGAAAGTCCATTTATTCATACCTGTTTTTCTCTCTCTTTTTCTTGTTTTCTTTTTCCTTCATCATTCTCTCGATTTATGCTGTTCTTTTACTATTGGTCGTGATGTTTGGTTGCCAGTTTCTAATTCTTATCTGGTTGAATGGAAAGAACAACTATGGTGTTTTCATCTTCAAATATTCCAATTCCTCTGGTTTTATATACTGGCCGAAAAATCGATCCACGTCAATTTTTCACATTTTTTTAATGTTCAATTTTCTTCTCTTATTTAAGTTTTACTCTTAACTGCATCGGTCATGGAATTGCTATTGTTGAACCTACATTTTATGGTGTGTTATGTGCTTAGGAATGCCGTGAGAACCATTAAAGTTGCAAACTGTATAATTGATTTTGAACTATTTTTCTAAGGCTGTTCTAATGCCACTTACTGTTGTTATGCATTGAGGTTTGTAATGTGTGATTTTAATTATTATAGAAGAACAAGTAAATGAATAGTAGAAAAGAGAGCTTCGGTGCATAGAGAAAAGATAGATCTTTTGATCTCTACCAATTTAGAAGGATTACAAAAATTATGATGTTTTCGACTTTCGCTGTGGCTTTATATTATTTTTGGTGAATAAGGTAGTGAGCTTATTACTTAATTATTGATTCTTTTTATTCATATTCATTCCTTAAAATGTTAACATAAATTGTCAGAATTGAGGACTCGACTGCTGTATTTTATTAAAAAAAACTTTTCAAGATATTTCCAAATATTTTGACCCTAAGTTATACACAGTTCAACACTCTATTTGGCTTGTTTATGTTCTATTTGAATTCAGTATATACAATTTTTCTAATAGTTCTTTTGAAATTTTTGGAATTCAGATATACGTTCCTACAAATCCCCGTGGTGCGGAGTTCTTACCTCCAGGAATTGTTGCTGCTGAATCTGATTTTTTTCTGCGCAGACTATGGGGTGATCCCAATGAGGTATTGCTTAAGAAATTGGAGATAATGAATTTGGATCCTCTTTCTCCGTCTACCGATATATCTATATTAGTTGATTGCATCAGGCTCTCCAGTATAAATTATATTTGTCTGTGTTGTCTATGCATTATATCTTACTTATATTTATGTTTGTTACCTGTTGCTCATGAAAGGCTTATACTTTTATAATTGATCACATTTTGTAGGTTAAAAGCAACCTTTTATTCACTACCGTTGCAGTGTATTTATTGTCTGATTAATTTTATGGCTACATTAAGCAGTAGATATTGTTTCGGCTCTTATTTTCATAAAATATGTTCATAAGGTATTGGGAGTATGCTTACATCTAAATTATGGAATTTTCAGGATGTGAAAAAGAAGCCAAAGTATCTGGTAACATTTACAGTTGGGTTTGATCAGAAAAACCATATTAATGCTGTTGTAAAAAAGGTGAATACAATTTCATGTGCTATTGAGAGAAATTTGTTTGTTCACTGTCAGCATACTAAAAATAATTTTGCTACATATATTGTAGTTTTCGGATGATTTTCAAATCCTACTTTTTCATTATGATGGCCGAGCAAGTGAATGGGATCAATTTGAGTGGTCTCAACATGCCATTCATATAAGTACAAGGAAACAAGCAAAATGGTAATGTTCTACATATTTTGCTAGCTTCTGATCTTTAATTAATTTGTTCTTTGGTTGTATGCTTGGCCTATGTAGTCGTATTGAAGGGGAATTGAAACTTTATGTGCCTGAGTTAACACAAAAAATGTCGTTTCAAATGTAACTTACTGGACGTGAAAGGCAACACCGATAATTTCATTGTTGGCCACTCTAGGGTTACTCTTCATCAAAATTACAATGGATCGGAAATCAAGGCTGTCATTATAAGATTAAATCTCATTCAGTTGTTCTTGATAGTTGTGGGAATCTCTATAAATGCTGGAGTTTGGAGATAATTCGTCATATTTATGGAGGCGCATGTACTTGCCTTTTGTAGGTGGTATGCAAAGCGATTTCTTCATCCTGATATTGTAGCTGCGTATGATTACATTTTCATATGGGATGAAGATCTTGGAGTTGAACACTTCGATCCTGATAAGTAATCACCATAATTTGTTCACAGGTTGTAATTTTATGCTTGTGTAATCAGTTTGAATCAGCAAGCAATCTTGTCAACTTTTAGGTACATTCAATTGGTGAAAAAACATGGTCTGGAGATTTCCCAACCTGGTCTTGAGCCCAACAATGGACTGACATGGCAAATGACGAAGAGGAGAGGTGACAAAGAAGTTCACAAGTAGGTTTTTCGTATTTTCAGTCCAAATTAATAGCCGGAAAATTTTCCATGTTCTACTTATGAGTGGAAGCGGATAGACAGGAATACAGAGGAAAAACCAGGCTGGTGTAGCGACCCTCATCTACCTCCATGTGCAGCGTATGTATTTGTTCCTCTTCTATAAATTCATCTTTGCATTAGTACTGTCTGTGTCGTAGGCGAGCATGTGTATCCCTGTTTCATGGGTAATTCTGTTCATTGAAATGCTTCATAATTCTACTATCTTATTTGCTCAAGTCGAGTTAAAAATTGTTTCCTCCGATCATGTGTATCTATACTAAAATTTGGGTGTTATCCAATTTTTCCTTGATACCTATGCATTGCTTGTCGATCAGTGGCCACATAAGACTATCACTGATTTTTAGCATCCAGACGAGTGGATATCTATATGGGTTTAAAAGAAAGTATTGATTTTCTTGACGTAAATAAAAATAACTGGGGATGCGAACGTATCTGCATATTTTTTTGTAACATTTTATCTAACATTATAGATGGAAAATGCACAAGGATAATTCGTCTCTGGTCTTTCTTCAGATTTGTAGAAATTATGGCTCCAGTATTTTCTCGTGAAGCTTGGAGATGTGTTTGGCATATGATTCAGGTATTTGTTTCATTGCAAGGGAATCAAATCCTGTCGTTCTAGATATTTATTAGCATATGGCTGTACTTAGAGCTCTCAATCATGTAACCTGAATTTCACGCGGCTTTTGTTTCATCATGCTATGTGGAGTGAACTTTTTTGATCTTGTTCTTGCAGAATGACTTGGTTCATGGATGGGGATTGGATTTCGCATTGAGAAGATGTGTAGATGTTAGCCCTCTCTCTCTCTCTCTCTAAGTTAATACTACTAAGGATTAAGATATTTAACATATAGAAGTTGAGAGAGGATGAAAGACATCTTCTCTTGGAATTCTCGCCTTGTGTTCGGAAATAAGTTAACATACCCTGCCAAAATCTATCAAGTAAATATTTGTTTGGTAATGCAGCCTGCACATGAAAAAATTGGCGTTGTCGACTCACAGTGGATTGTGCATCAAGTAATTCCCTCACTAGGGAATCAGGTTGGTTGTCTATTATTCGTGTATATATATATATATATATTTGTTGTATTACATATAATATGCATTAACTTAGCAATGAAGATTGGGATATGACTCTTTGCTCGTCATCTAAATCTAAGTCGAGTTAGTTGAAGTTAGTATTGACTCTCTAATACTTCGTAATTTGTGATACATGTCAATTGTATTGCTAATGCCAGCGAGTGTTCACGAGTTCTTTCAATTCTCCTTCATGACACTGCATTATTGCTAATAGTTAGCGTCGTAATAGCCTTCGATATAAGATGCTTAAGGGTCATTCGACCATTTTCAATCCTTCAATTATCGTCACCATGGAACCCTCTGATATTATGCTGTTTCTTCGATGAAGTCTAAAGTTCTATGCAAAATCTTGCTGAATTTAATTTTGTCGTAATTCTCAGGGGGAGTCCTTGGATGGGAAAGCACCATGGAAGGGGGTACGTATATCCCGAATATATGCATCTTGGTTTGATCTGTCCTTATTGAATAAATACAAATCCATTCTGAAAATCGTTCACTACATTCAAAAAAACATTAATTATTTCGCCAATTACAACGAGCTCCTGAAAATCAAATGCCAAATCCTTCTTTAACATGCTGGACCACTCCTCATCAGAATCCTTCCGAAACACTTATTTTTATCAATTTCGTGACACTAAGAAATGCAAAATATCTGGGCCATTGTACTGTTCATACCTATGTTATTTCGATCGACATTTCTGTAGCTAAGTTCATATTATCGTAATTATTTATTTTTCCACAGGTACGAGAGAGATGCAGAAAGGAATGGGCACTTTTCCAGGACCGCCTTGCGACTGCGGACAAGGCTTACCTTACAAAGGTTTAGCGCAAAAATCTACCATCTGACGGGGAACTTATCGTGTACATTATGTTTTTCTAGCGTAACCTCGAGTGCCATTGGCCCTATTCTTTCATGAGTTTATAGCAACCCTTTTCTCCATTAGTTGTAGGATACATTGCAAAATAGTGTAAAAGCGCCGTTGGATTCTGAAAACGTATGCTCGCTTCGCTTGTGCAGCAGTAGATAATATGTATCGGTTTTCTTTTTTTGCTTAACGACATGCTTTATTCATTCCCCGATCTCCACTTCTAACATAGCTCTCATTTTCGTGAGCAATGTTGCTTGCTCCTATAAATGATATTACACGACTATATAAGTTGCGCGCATATTACCTCGTATAAATGTGAATCTTAAGGGCTTTCAAGGCAAAGAAAGTTGGATTATATTACATGACTTTAACTACTAGACTTGTGCAGACGATTTCAAATTTACGATTGTTTCGAATTGCCATAGTTAAAATCGTCAAATTGAAATCAAAACTATAATTTGCCCAAGTGATTTCAAATTGGCGATTTTTTTGAATTGAAATAAATAGAACTGCCACGTCGAAATTTGAAATCAAAATTATGATTTAGAAGGTTCTGAATTTGGCGATTGTTTTGAATTGTCGTATAAATATGAATCTTAAGGGCTTTCAAGGCAAAGAAAATTGGATTACATTACATGACTTTAACGACCTGACTTGTGCAGACGATTTCAAATTGGCAGTTGTTTTGAATTACCATAATTAAAATCTAAAATTGCTACGTCGAAATTTGAAACCAATACTATGACTTAGAAGGTTCTGAATTTGGCGATTGTTTTGAATTGCCGTATTTAAAATCATCAAATTGAAATCAAAACTATAATTTGCCCAAGTGATTTCAATTCGGCAATTATTTTGAATTTGAATAATTGAAACGATCACTTTGAAATCAAAATTATGACTTTTAGAAGCTTCTGAAACCGGCTGTTCGAACTGTACTGATCATAACAAATTTCATTACATCAATAACTTTTGGAATACTAAATGGAAGGCCACGTTTGGTAAGATGTCACACTTAGAAAATGAAAATTGAAAAATGAAAATAATAGAATAGAAAGAGGATTGATTAAAAAAGGGTTGGAGAGAAAAGTTGTGCAAAATTGAGTTGTCACCTTTCACCAAACGAATGCACTTCTTTTGCTTATAAAGAAAGAAATTCAAGTGTTCGTCTCACCTTCCTACCTTGTATCCCAATAATCCTTTCTTCTTCTTTTTTTTTTTTTTTTTTTTTTTTTTTAATTTTAATTTTCCAAATAAATTAATCAATCAATTTGTTTGTTTGTTTGTTTGGATGGGTACCATGTTTTTTAATAATAAAAATTTGAATTGAAAAAAAAAAAAAAAGTAAAAAACATAAGTAAACAATATTATTTAAGTAAGTATTTTGAGTGTTGAATACATAGTATAAATCGAAGAGAAAAAAATACATCTATTAATGTGATATAATATAAATGTAATAATATTTGTATAAAATATTATACAAATATAAACATAATTTTAATATTAAATACAATAATATAAAAATAAATAAATACCTTATCAAAGGAAAGAGAGTATAATATTTTGAATAAAAAATGAATATTTAATTTGATAATTTTTAATTAAAAAAAAAAAAGGAATGATGAACCTAAAAAATTTTAGGTATGGTACATAATTTTGGATTTTGGCATATCGAAAAATTTAGTTTATTGAATTTTTGTATATTAAAATTTTTGATATGATATCAATATTGAATTGAACATATCATTTTTTTTATATTCTATACAATACATCATAAAAATTTCGGTATAACATCCCAAACTCTCCCTACTCGAAACTTATAAAACAAAGAATTTGTTTGATTGTGATCTGAAATAAGATATTTATTTGAAATTTTATTTAAATGTGATATTTTCTAAAAAAAAATACTCCATCCGTCCCATAAATATAGTGTTAATTGAGTTGGGAACGAAATGATATTATATTGGTAGTTGGTAAAAAATATGAATAAAAGATTTTTTTGCCCTTGTGAAAAAAATAGTCGCAATTGTGTAATAAAAATGAAAAAGTAAGAGTAGTTTTACGGTGATATGATTATTTATGAAAACAAGATTATTCTTTTGACACGGACAAAAATGGTAAATAAGATTCTTATATTGGGACAGAGAAGGTATTATATTTTTATTGGAAACTATATATAGTGAATACGGTCAATTTCAATTTAAAACTAGGAAAGAACAATCCAAATAGACCCAAAATTTCTATACCACTGTACATTGAACAATGTCGTCCATTCATAGAATGTATGTATGTCTATTGGAATAGGAATTATTGAGATGGATTTTGGTCACATTTTTCATTTCACAAAGGGTCAAATTTGGAATCAACTAAGAAGAAATTATGGCAATGATTTTACATTGAAGATTTCCAAATAATGAATGCTTAGGAAAATTAAATTAAATAAAAAAATATCCAATTTGGCCAATGGCTTTGATGGGGTTTGCTTATAATTTCAGTTAGGCAAAGAAAAAAAAAAAAACACCAAGCAATGTAATAACAACCAAATCAAACAATGGTTAGCACCAACCACTTGTTTACTTAGCAATAAAAACCCTTCCTATCACACCATTCTATTACAAGCCAAGAACACCCCCATCCCCACCCCTACCCCCACCCCCACCCTTTTTTATAACTCTCTCTCTCTAGCCTTCTCTCACTCTACATTCACCTCCAACCACCACTACAACCGCCCTACCACCGCCGCGCCGCCGCCCTACACTAGGCCTCAACTTTTGTCGACGAGGGCTTCTTTTGAGCATCGAGCAAATTTGTTAGTATAAAACGATCTTGTCGCGTTATTTAGAAAGGTTTAAAAAATCAAGCTTGTTATCTATATGAATATATTTGTTCGGATTTTGCGAAAAATATAATTCATTACTACTGTTACTAATACTTTTTTGTGATGATTTATAGGGAAATTAAATGGGAGAGATGCCGGGATTCCAAGTAGGCGTGATCGGCGCATTATTCCTCTCGGTGGCGTCCTCCGTGTCTATTGTTATTTGCAACAAAGCTCTTATGAGCAATCTCGGGTTCCCGTTTGGTACTAACACTCATGCATATGTGGAAATAGATCGATCTTATTTATATATATTTATATATATATATAGAATTTTTAAATTTTAAGTAGACGGATAATTAATCTATTTTTGTTTGACCGAATGGAACTTCTTGGTTTGGATAAAAAATTTCACCAAATTGAGCACGTCTAGCATATTATTTCGGTTTAGGGATAATCAGGCTCGAACTGATGACTTCCACCACGACAAGGTGGAAATAATATTCTATATTAGATTTTTTTTTTATTTCTTTTAATGTCAAATTGCCAATCATAGATGCGACACTAACTAATTATTCACTTGCATTTGATCGTTTCGGACAGCCACGACGCTCACAAGTTGGCACCTAATGGTGACGTATTGCAGCCTTCACGTGGCGCTCCGATTGAATTTTTTTGAGAACAAACCGATCGACATGAAGACCGTGATGCTATTTGGAATCTTGAACGGAATCTCCATTGGATTCCTCAACCTCAGCTTGGGATTCAACTCCATTGGATTCTATCAGGTCGGAACAGAAGTTTCCAAGTTTTAGAAAATTTTAGAATTAATAAAAAAAAAAATTTGATTATTTGAAGTGATATTTTATGAAAAGAAAAACGTATATGATGTAATAGGATTTTTTTTTTTTGAAAAATTTGCTGTCAATAATGGATAGTAATAAAAATTTCAAAATAATTTTTCAAATTCATTAGTACGAAATATTTAGAATTTTAAAGACATGCACATTAAATTTCTTATATTATATTTTATTTGAGTACTTTTGTGGCAATGTACAGATGACAAAACTTGCAATAATCCCTTTCACAGTCATGTTGGAAACTCTCTTCCTCAAGAAGCAATTCAGGTAGTTGTTCAATTTTTATTTAATTTCCTACAATACCAAATATATATATATATATATTAAATTTGATTCGATTGTTAATTTTATTATTATTATTATATTATTATTATTATTATTATTATTATTATTATTGTTAATATTTTGTACATACAGCCAAAAAATAAAACTATCTTTAGGGTTGCTGTTGGTGGGAGTGGGAATTGCTTCTGTGACAGACCTCCAACTTAATGCTTTGGGTTCGATCCTCTCTCTCCTTGCCATCATTACCACATGCGTCGGCCAAATTGTAAGTATATATATATATATGAGACCTCGATTACCGTGCTGATTCCATCCCACGTATTTTTATTATTTATTTTTGTTCGTTTGTCATTCTTTTTTAAATATGATTATCCATTTTAATTACATTTTAAGTTTTAAATTTTATAATTTTTTAATTTTAATTAAACTATTTACTTATTTTAATCTTAATCTATAATTATTTTTGCTAAATAATTATTATTTCTACTAATACACTTTTTAATTAATTATCTACTAATTATACTTTACCTAAATTTTCGTATTTAAAGTAACATACCCAAAATATATGGAACAAAAGGAGTATAATACATATAAATACATATAGACAATATATATATATAGTAATAGTCATACAACGTATATGACATAATAAAAATATTGATCTTTGCTAATAATAATAATAATAATTTATACAATAAATGCTGATTATTCAAACCATACGTTAAAAAGTAGTTGCTCATGTGTTGATTAGAGGCTTAGAGCTAATAAGCCATCTTAATTATCCTCTATTTATGTATAATCAAATACAAAATTAGTGTTTGATGTCATCAAAATATATATATATTTTTTATTTTAAATAAGATAAATTAAAAAAATTGGAAATAAACGTTCTGTTCAGATAGCGTTTTTAGATAAATTAATTTTTTATGTATAATATAAAAAATTACGTTAAAAATATAAAATATATTATTTTAAATTAAATATTTACTGTTTGATTTTTTTTAAATAAATACGAAGGTTTGCTTTTTATTTTTTATTTTTTACTTTTTGATTTTTATAAAAAATTTGTATTATTTATTATTATTTTTGAAGAATCATAATGTTAAACATGGCTTTAGAGTGTCTTTGTAGATGGATATGTTTTTAACCATGGTAATAATTTTGCAGCTCACAAACACAATACAAAAGCGGTTGAATGTATCGTCGACCCAATTGTTGTACCAATCGTCGCCATTTCAAGCGGCAATCTTGTTCGTCTCCGGCCCTTTCTTGGACCATTGCCTCACCAATCGCAACGTCTTCGCCTACAAGTACTCGCCTATCGTTTTGGTATGTCTTTCCACTAATTACGACAATATGTTTCTTGTTCAGATAAATTTTAGAAATAATTAAAAAAAGTCATATATTTGATAATATTACATAAATAAATATTGAATATGATGTTTCGAATATAATATTAGTATATTTTGAATGTAATATTCTTCCATCACGTCTCCTTTGCTAGTTTCTTTTTTTTTTTTTTTTTTTTTTTTTTTTTTATACAATCTTTGAAAAGTATAACTTTTATTTTGGCTCTTCATTTTGTTTAGATATGTTATTTAAATATATAAATTGTATTTAAAATGATAAAATGGGAAACAAATGTGTGATAAAAAAAATTGCATAAATTTTAGGATATACTATATTATAAGTAATACTCCTATAAAAAATATTTCAAAAAAAATGAGTATTTAAAATTAAAAAAAGAAAGATATGTAATGTGATTTTTTATTTTAATTTTTTTATTATTAATAGATAATATCAAAATTTTCAAAATGTGTATATAAACAAAGTCTTATTGTTTTATTTTATTTTATTTTATTTTAATGTTTTGTTCTATAAATTAAATAAAATAGTTGTTAATGTAATAAAAAAGACGCTGTGCGGACAAGTCGATCAAAGTCAAGTTGTACAGCCTTGACCATGGATTCGATGACCGCCTAAGCCGTAGCGCGATAACGCGCGTACTCTTCTTCTAAATTTTATATAAAATATATATATATATATATTTTCATAAGAACAATAAATTAATATATAGTAAAACAAATTTAAAAAAAGCTCAATTCTAGTAAAGCCACAAATTTAAAAATTCTATCAACAATAACTTGGGGTATGTTTCTTTTGATGGTTTGAAAAAAAATTAGTTTAGATTTGATATTAAAATAATATATGATGAGATATTTTGTGAGATAAAAAAAAATATATATTTTTTTTAAAAACACAAAAATTTAAAAAGTAAAAAATTGAAATTTGTAAGCTAAAGAAACATATCATTGTTCTTACACATTTTAAGCAAAACATACTGTATTATTACCTGTTACAACTTCATATATTTGTTGTTCTTACAACATCCAGGGATTCATACTTTTGTCGTGCCTTATCGCTGTGCTCGTGAACTTCAGCACGTTCTTGGTCATCGGGAAGACATCACCAGTTACATACCAAGTATTGGGCCATCTCAAGACATGTCTTGTCCTCGCGTTCGGCTACACCTTATTACACGACCCCTTCACCCTCCGCAATGTCATTGGTATCCTCATCGCCATCGCCGGCATGGGAATGTATTCCTATTATTGCACCAATGAGGCCAAGAGGAAGCACGATGGCGATGACATTCCCCCCGCCCCTCCTTCCTTGTCTTCGTCCCTACAACAACAGGTAATAAAACTAACTTGACTGGCTGACGAACTAATTGTTCGAATAATTTATTTTTTTTCAAAATAATTTATTAATTAATGTTGTTTTAATTTTAGGTGAAAGATAAGGATACGACGCCATTGTTGTTGAGCCATCAAGATAGAGAGTCCAAAGACTCACTTGCCTGAGTGGCTAAAGCCATTAATGTTTGTTTTGTTTGGCTTTAAAAGATTATTATTGTTTTGATTTGTTCAGATATTAATGTAAAAATATTTGGATATGTTCAAATTTTGAAATAATAATAACGAGTTATATATATATATATATACACGGGGTTGATTTGAATCTTTTGAAATTTTGAATTTCTGAATGGATCAACATAAAAATTTAAATAATACAAAATCAGAAATATATTATAATAAGAATATTTATGGGAACCATGGTAAACTGGGGACCCATTATATATTTATGTTATATATATATAATTTATATATATACAATTTATTTGATATATGTAAATGTAAATAATTGTAATTTAGTGGTATATAAATTAATTTTTAATATTGAAGCCTTAAATTCAAATTCTATATACTACTTTTCATCTATAAATATTAGAAAATTATTTATATTTATTATAAATAAAAATATATTATTTATATTTATTTAGGCCCAAGCTAAGAGAGAGGTGAAATTATTGTGTTCTTTTTTGTTTTGATTTTTTAATTAGATTGTGCCATTTGATGCATAAGCTAATAAATTTTTTTTTTTTTAAAAAAAAGAATTCCAAACGATTGTATACGCTCTAAGAAGTAAGAACATGCATGTGTAATAGTCTACTTAAAAATAGCTTCTATTACCCTAAACCCTATTACTTACGTGACAACTTATAAATTTATTTTAAAAATCAAATCACAAATACATACACAATTAGAGTTGTTAAACGAATTGAGCTGTTCATTCGCGAACGTTAACGAGCCGAGTCGGACAATATAAACAGACTCGTTTGGTTGACGAACGAGCCTGAGCTTTATTTGCGAACGTTCGTTTAAATAATATATTTTTTATAAACAATAACGAAACTAGCATCTAAATTCCGGGGGGCAAAATATTATAATTTATTTAATATTTAATTAATAAAGTTAAATAAAAAAATAATGACAAAATTATATATGAGTTTAGATAGTTTTGGAGGGACAAATTGTATATAAATACATAAAAATTAATATTTTTTAACACTAAAAAAATTATAAAAAATTGGGCTTTGGGGGTCACCCTTAAACCCAGTGTAGTTCCGTCCCTGACTATAAATATTATGTATACATCTAAAATTATAATTTATAAATAAATAAAATATTAAGTTTAAATATATAAATTAAATAATTTTATTTTTTAAATTTATATATAAATTAAAAAAAGTGAGACAAACGAGCTCGAACAAACTCGAACGAGCTTAATCGAGCCGAACACGAGCTCAATAAACAAAATTCTTAATAACGAGCTGAGCTCGGACATTACAAACGAGTTCGAGCTCGAAAGCTTAACGAACGAATACGAGCCTTGTTCGCGAACGTTAACGAACACTTAAAATTTGGCTCGACTCGACTCGGCTCGACTCGTTATCAACTCTGTACACAATGATATTAAATGCATTAGATGAATTCCAATAGCCTCCAAGTAGCATGGATGTTGTCACGCTTTTTTGCTTTCCAAAACTTATTCATTGTGTATTTTTCAAAAAAAAAAAAAAAAAAAATCAAATCGTAATGCATAATGCATTGGAGGGTAATAAGAAAGACTCGATTTAATGTTATTAAAATAATAATAATTTTTTAAAAAATTAATACTATAATTGTTTGTATTTTTTTTTTTGTTGTTTTTATCTTTTTAACTACTCTCTCCGTCCTTTAACAATCTATCGATTTTTTTATTTTGGTCTGTCCCATAACAAAATATTTATTTATTTTTTTAGCAATTGTACTATTTACCTAACATTACAAATACCTTTCCAATTTACAATATATTACACAAATGTCATTACCTTTATATCATACAATACTAATAGGATTAATTTAGTCTTTTTACATTTATTTTTACTTTATCACAATATAATATTAATTTTTCTAAAAGTACGTATAAAAAGCAAATGAATATATATATATATATATAAGACGGATGAAGTATTAATTAACAATAAAATATATTTTTCTACTAAAAATGATCATATCATTTTTTCTTTTGTTTTTAAACTCAAACTCAAATGATTTAATTTTCATTTATAATAGTTTAAATCGAATTTGTCCGGGACAATTACGCAACGCTAGTTATATGACGTTCTTAATGCATAGATGAGCGTCATCCCTGCCATCGCTTGCCTTCCAATTTTGGATTTGTGCGGATATGTATATATCTGTATGCACGATAAAAAAAAGTCGAAAAAATTAATTGCCGATTGAAAAAAAATAAAAGAATTCATGTAATATGACTAAATACCGATGCTACTATTGATTTATTTATTTATTTGATAATTTCCATAAATTAATTTGGACGCAAAAAAACATAACGTATCAAAAATGTGATGTAAGTATGAGGTGAGCTTATTTGAGAAATCTCATAAACATGCGGGGTCAATGTGACAAATTCAGAAAGATCAGGATGAGAACTGATATTCGAGATAATGAGTGGGCTGTTTTGCGAAAAACAATTATTTAGGAAGGGCAATAACGTCATTTCGCATGAGAAATGATTAGGACTGTGTTCGATACCGAAGCTTTTTGTCTCACACCGATTTCTGTTGCTTCCACAGACAGCGTTCAATTTAAATTAAAAATTAAAAAAATAATAAAATAATAAAATGGAAAATTATAAATGAAAGATGCAGCGGCCAATCGAAGCATCGCCAAGAAAAGGACAAAAAAGCAAAACCTCTCGCCATTAAAACGAGGGGAAGAAGTTCTGCTTTTCCTTCTCACGCCCGGACAGCGCATTGCCCAGCGGATTATGCGTGATGCTATGTAATGTATGCGTCTGCTCTGCTTCCATGCGGCATTTCGCAATAAATTGGAATTGACGTACTTGATTTGAGGGGTTTTGGTTTGGAGGGAATTGGGTGGGGGATTTGGGTAACGATGGGGGTTTCGCAGAATGATGGTGGGCGGATGGAAGGCTGGTTGTTCCTGATACGTTCCAATCGGTTGGGGCTTCAGTATTCAAGAAAGCGCTACTTTGTGCTTCAAGATCACTTGCTCAAGAGCTACAAATCTGTTCCGCTTTCGCAGGACGAGGTTTGCTTCGATTGAATTATTTAATTATTATTATTATTTATCTTTTTCTCTTTTTTTTTTTTTGAATTTGGTGAAGTTAAATTTATTGTTGTTGTTGGTTTGGTGGATTTACCTTCCGAGGGTGGTAGAGATGTGGTGTTTACTGATGATCTGTAAGTAATGGCTTTGAATCTTTGTGAATGTTTGTTTACACATATGTATATATGGCGTATTTGAGATTTCCAGAATAGTTTGTATCTTATTTATGTTAGGGAGATAATTTTTGCAAGATTAGGCATGGAGAAATTGTGGTGGATTGAGGGAATTTGGATTTTGTTTTATGTTGTTGTGTTTGTATGTGTACTTGAATATTGTTGGAGTTTCCATTTTTGATGTTTCTCTTGTTTTGATTTATAATGGCGATCAATGTGCTTTACTTGTAGCCTTTTATGTTGATGTTTGTGAATAGTTTTTTGTTCTACTTTAATGGTAACTTTATTGTTAAACCTATTTAGCAAATGTATGTTGTGAAATGTTTGCTGATTTGCTCTATATCAAGAAACCTTCAATTGTGGGTAACAGAGTTTTGGTGACATTTTTATCTGTTCTTGGAGATTTTCTTTTGCATTGATAAAGATGATTAGTTGTCCTCATTACATGTGTAGTGGCAGAGGTACTCGTGTGTGTAAAAGCATGCAGTTGACGTAAGTCACTTCTGATATTTAATCTTTATCCCATGTTTCGATGTGTCAATTGTGGGCCAGATCTGCCATCGCTAGCTTGTTGTCATCTAGAAGGTAGAAAATTTATGTTGCATGTTGTAAAGTTGTCCATGGCTGATTGTGACGATGTAAACTGCAAGCCATAATTGGCAAGTTTATTTCAAAACTCGAGGCTCTGTACATGCTAAATTTCTGTGTGCGTGGCAGGGGGGCTAAGATGGATTAGCACTACATACTTAAGCATTGTACATTATTAAAAATTCACATGCTATTTTTTCATTTTTCATTTTTGTCTCTCTAATCAGGATCCTATTAGGAGTGCAATTATAGATTCCTTCATAAGGGTGACTGACAATGGAAGGGAGAGTATTCAGAGGAAGGCATGAATGCGGAACTACTGTTTCTTGAAATTCCAAATTTGTGATTTGCAGTATTCTTCAAATAAGTCTGCATACATCAAATAAGTTTCTTTGCACTTTCTTCTTACATTTTGTAATTTGCAGGTTATCTTCATGTTCACACTTTACAATACGTCTAATCACAGTGATCAACTGAAGGTTTGGAAGCTTCCGACTCTAATTTCTGAGTGTTTTCTCTTGTCTTCCTAATTACAAAATTTCTATCTAGTTGGGCGCAAACAGTCCTGAAGAGGCTGCAAAATGGATTCAGTCTTTCCATGAAGCATCTTTAAAGGTTGAAATTGCTCTTTCTGTTATGTCGCTGGATAAATACATTCCTGAATGATGTTTATAATAAATGCAGCCAGAACAGAATCAAGGAGATCTTAAATTTGCTAGGCATGAGAGACCCTCATTACGGTAAGTCATTTTACATTTGTGGTTTGAAAATGGCAACCTAAATTTGATCTGTCCAATTGTTGGTCAGTTGGTTGTACGCAACTGAGTGGAGATTGAAGTTGTTTAAAAATTAAACAGCGATTCTAACTTGTTTTTCTTACTTTCATTTTGCCTAGATGGTATTTGCTGCTATAATGATTAATGAATTTCTTCTCTCTAAATAGGTTAAATTGTTCCAATAAGCATTCTCGTTCCATTGACTGGACCCTCTATTCATCCTCCGTAACAGATGCGATGACATCTGATGTTGTTGCTCCATCACCTTGGAAAATCTTTGGTTGCCAGAATGGTAAGGATTCTATTTATGGTCTATTTATCGCAATCGCTGTTAATATTTGTCTAATACAAAATATATGCAGGTCTCCGATTATTTAAGGAGGCCAAAGAGAAGGAGTTGAGTGGAAAGGTTAGAATTATTAGCGCTCTGTTAATGTTATGAAAGCTGTAAAGCTTCATTTATATGAGTTGTTTCCATGTTTTGTAGTGGGATGATCATCCTGCAATTATGGCTGTTGGTGTTATTGATGCAACTTCAGAGGCTATATTCCAAACACTCATGTCTCTAGGTCCTTCAAGATCAGAGTAAGTTAACAAGATAAGACGAGAGTATCTTTCGGACTTGAAAACTATTGGAGATACTTTAGGCTTAAGAGGATGGTCCTGGTTTTAAGTTTTTCAATCCTGAGGACTAGGTATTGTTGGGTTTTCTCATCCTTTCATTTTTCATTCTTTATGCAGATGGGATTTCTGTTTTTATCAGGGTTCTGTGATTGAACATCTTGATGGCCATACTGATATAGTCCACAAGCTTTTGTATCAGGATTGGCTGCCTTGGTTTGATTTGAATTATATGCCTATTATTATTTCTCTTTCTTTTCCTTTGTTGTACACTCTTAGTTGAATTGTGTTGTCGGTTGTTACAGGGGTATGAAACGAAGGGATCTTCTGTTACGTCGCTATTGGAGAAGAGAGGATGATGGTACATATGGTAACATTCTAACGTTGAAAACTTAATTAAGTATTGTGGATGTTTAATAGATGTGAATGTTATACTAATACTAATATATTCATTTGCAGTGATTCTATATCATTCGGTGTTTCATCTGAAGTGTCCACCAAAAAGGGGTTATGTACGCGCCTGCCTTAAAAGTAATGTATGCTTTTCTTTGAAGAATTAATGTGATTTTAAATTTTTAATATACTTCACTTAATACTGCCAGGCCATGTTGAAGAATTAATGTGATTTTAAATTTTTAATATACTTCACTTAATACTGCCAGGCCATGTCCTGGTATGCAGTCTGTCATATCTTTTTGCATCTTTATATTCTTTTTAGATATTAGTCTAGAATTCATTGAATATCCTCGATATTAATCAGCAATAGGTCTTATTTTTACTGGCACAAAAGTGATCTCTATCATGAAGTTTATGTATTTGCTTTGATGATCTTTATTTCTTGTGCTGATCTCGCATGCATGAGTTCCTATATGCTATCAGTGCTTCGACTCACCTCTGCTCTCTATATAAATTCAATGATATATTCCCTATCAGCTTAAGAACCATCTGAGATGCTCACATGATTACACGCTATCAAGTACCATTTTAGATTTCCACTGCCACACATTTTGAAAGAATTGTTATACATGCAAAGTTGCATGAAACACAACTTGATGTGCATAAGTGGGTGTATTGAATAATTAACTCAAGTTTAAAAGGATTCTACAATCTATGTGCTTTTAGCCTTTGTGGTTAAAGTTGGATGGTTTTATGGATTTCTTACAGGTGGAGGATATGTTGTATCTCCTGTTAATCAAGGAAAGCGTTCTGTAGTGAGGCATATGCTTGCTATTGATTGGAAATTTTGGAAGTCTTGTTTACATACCTCATCAGCCAGGTCAATAACAATAAGCATGCTGGGGAGACTAGCTGGTGCGTTCCACTGCTATTTCTTTTTCTAATATGCATGTTACTAATTTATGAATCAAATTTATTGGCGGTATCTCAGTTTTTGGTATCTAGTTTCTATTTATTTAAATTTCCATGCACTGCCCCTGTGGAGCTGATAAACTTGCTTGTTTGAAGGCATTTGATGCCTGTGTTTACACAACACCAGTCATTTGTGAATTGCAAAAACAGAGGAAATCTTGATAAACTTACAATGCTAGAAATTTGATGTCTATAAAGTAGAACCGTTGTAAAGTTGTACTAACTTTGAAACTATGTAGTCAGTAACCATGATATTGACAATTGATCATTGCATAACTCTTCATCAGACTGATTCAACTCCACTGCCCTGTTTATAGCCTTGCGGGAACTGTTTAGAGCCAAATTGGATGGTTCATCTAATTTCTCATCAGGGGAGCTAATGAGCAGTAAGTGCACACAGCACACCAAAGTTGAAGTCCAAACAAAAGTAGAGAATGGGCTGAATAGGGAGGTTATGGAGGAAAACACAATTATATCACCTTCCGAGCACTCAAGTCTCGTGGGATTAAACGACACATCAGATGAATTCTTTGATGTATCAGAACCTTTGGATTATGATCAATCAGAAAATGGTTGGCCTTCTGATTTTGGTCCTGAAACTTATTCTCAGGTACCAGCTGTTACTTTCATTTTTATCTCTTGAAAGAGAAGCCTTCAGCGGCTGCATGTGCTGATTCAGTAGAATTTTCATGAAAATGACTAGAAGTTTGGTCTCAGCTCTCAACCGATAGCTACTTAGAAATGAGACATCTGATTTGTGAAGTTTTGGATATTCTTTTCTTTGGATTAATATGTTAATTTAATAATCCACCCTGAAGTGGAACACTTCAGACTTCAGATAAAGTCACCCTGTTTTTCTTTCCCCAAGATGATAATGACTCTCATCTTTGACTCACCACCACTTCTGAGCTGTTCTTGTTTTTCATGAAATCTGTTTAAGTGCTCCCTTTCCTTGTTATTCTTGTTATCATTAAATTCTCTTGGTGTTTCAGGATGCACGGCAACCCAAACTGTCAACTGCTGCAGGCTTTGTGAAGAGGTTGCATGATCTTGCAGGTATTCAAGGGCTCATATACACAATGCTTACTTTCTCCCAGTCTTTCCCTTTGCTATAAAGTGATGAACACTGTTCATAGTTTTATGTTGTTGATGGTGCAGTTCAGAAGAAGGGCTATGTAGACTTGCATGATATGTCAAGGGAAGATAGCCTGTCATGCAGATATGGATACACTCTTCCAAAGGATACAACCTGTAATTTACTCTGCAGTTGGACCCAAACGGATCCATCAACATTTTTAATTCGTGGAAAGACCTATTTGGATGACAGAAAGAAGGTAATGCCATTTTCTAACAATACAAAACTATACTATTTCTACCTCCATAAGTAATCCTATGACCTTTGTTTTTTATTCAATTAAACAAAAGTGCAATCTGGAGGTTTAAATAGGTACGGTAGTTCTAGTTCATTAAATCCCACTCCTAGCACATCACATTTTGAGGTTGTATATAATATTCAGGGTTTAATTTATCCTCAATAAGCCTACATGTTTAGTATCTAACTATAAGGTATATACTGATATTTAAATACTGTATTAGATTTCTTCTAAAATGGATAATTCTATAGTTGTTATATTGGCCGTACTGTGAAATATACTTGATCTGGGATGGAATAGAACTCTAGTACTCCATCCATATACATTAGCATAGGGCGTGGGCAATGTTCTTTCCATATAAATTTAGATAGGGTACTCCCCATGCACAATAATATTGTATGGGGTACTGATTCTCTAGGATATATATGTAATAGTTTTTACACTTGTGTTTTAAAATAATTATATAGTTATAATATCAATTGTAGTATTAGTATTAGTATTAGGTGTAGATTACTTAGGGCATGAGCACTTTAGGGTCTCATTTATGATTAGTAACGAATCTAATCTACCCTCTGCCTTCAACCTTATCACGTTAGCTGATTTTTTAATTTTAGGACTATGACCATCATTGATCAATTTTTGTTCATGTAAATTTCTTACTCTAGATCAAGGCAAAAGGCACATTGATGGAAATGGTAGGTGCTGACTGGTTGAGGTCTGACAAACGAGAAGATGATCTTGGAGGCCGCCCAGGGGGAATAGTTCAGGTATTTCATTTTCAAACGAGTTCATAAGTAGACCTTACTCACGAGCACTTGCCCATTTTGCAGTGCGTACTAAGATCCCTTGTTGAATATGAAACTTACATGAGTTGTATCTCAACTTTGCAGAAATTTGCTGAAAAGGGTGGTCCAGAGTTCTTCTTTATTGTGAACATACAGGTGACATGAGCCTAATTTTCATTTGGCTGCTGCATTCTGGTTTTTCTAGCGACTTACTCTCTACTTTATTGTAATAGGTCCCGGGCTCAACAACATATAATCTTGCTTTATACTATATGATGAATACACCCTTGGAAGATGCTCCTTTGTTTGAAAGTTTTGTGAAAGGAGATGATGCTTACAGAAATTCAAGGTTCAAGCTCATACCATATATATCGAAGGTTGGTAAAGTAGTACTACCCATAGTTTCTTATCAAATCATTTGAGGTGTGTTTGTTTGGGGGATTGGATTTTAAATACACTATTTATCCCATTTTTTTCCCCCGAAAACATCAAATCAAATACCTATTTTTCATTTTTTATATTATACTAAAAATCAATTTTACATTCAAAACATCATATCAACACCTATTTATATCACATCATACAACTATTCAAATTCAAAATTTTTATTATTCAAATCCCAACTCAAAATCCAAACCCCCAAACAAACACACCCTGGCGTATTGAAAATTTTAAATTTCAGAAATAATAATTTTTAACCATTTCCGTTGGCCTCTGATCACTGAAAATAAGCATCGCTTTGCTTGAAGAATTTACTTTGTAATTGTTAACTTGATTAGGTGAAAATCGCCGCTTGAATTATGTATCCTTGAAGCACTTGTTTGTCAAAATCATAATTAAACTTAATAGCTTGTTTGTCCTTGATTGCTAAATCCCATTTGCATTTTGAAGATTATTATTACATGAATCACTTGGCGTGACGACGTGCATATCAAACTCGATACATATACAATTATTTTCTTTTCGATTTTCATCCCTGCAGGGCTCATGGATAGTCAAGCAGAGTGTTGGAAAAAAGGCATGCCTAGTTGGACAAGCATTAGAAATTAATTATTTTCACGGGAAAAACTACCTGGAGGTATTGTTTTTATATATTCATGTAGCAACCTTTTTTCTTGCTCGATATATTAAGTATAGATATAGTAGGCTTTTTTTCGTACATTCTTTTTGCAATCATCGCACATTTTTCAATGAAGAAAATCGTTGAATCAAGACATCGCTTCCTTTGTTCCGCTTCCTTTGTTCCGCCTCTAATATATGGACTCTTTAGCGCCATGTCCTATCCCATCCCATCGAAATAAACTTAAGAGGAACTACCCGGAACTCACTTGTGTATATGCTCGACTGTTTTGCAGCTCGGGATTGATATTGGCTCGTCAACAGTTGCGAGAGGTGTGGTCAGTCTTGTTCTTGGTTACCTCAACAATCTAGTAATTGAGATGGCATTTTTAGTACAGGTAAACCACTACAAATCCCAAACCACATTCATGATTGTTGAGATAACAAAACAATTTCCTTTCTCGCTTTTTGGCAGGCTAATACGCCGGAAGAGCTGCCTGAACATCTCATCGGCACTTGTCGCTTCAACCATTTGGATGTCGCTAAGTCCGTGTTAGTAAAGCCGTGAAGCTACCAAGAAATGGTTAGTTTTTGTTTGAGATTTCTGCGTAGAAAGTTTGATGATTGCTTGCAAATGTTGTTGCTGTTGCTTTGGCTAGTTCAAATTCATTTTATACAATCTATCGATGTCGGGGTAGGCGTAGATGATGATGGATCTGTAGGTACACACCCACCACCGGATATTGTGAAAATTTCAGTTCTTTGTGATGTGTATAGAAAACATATGATGATATGCTTAGTTAATCCGATTTTTATTGTCCAAAGTTTTCAAAACTTGTCGGATTAAATTGTATGATTTGCTCCATGGGATCTTTGCCAACAAGAATCAATTGGTATGGATATGGATTTTGTGGCCATTAGAGTGCTTATTAGTTCTAGTCTATGCATGACATGTATATTAGGGTGCTCTTATTTTGTTGGATAAGATTATAATATATGTATTATTGTAATTTATTATATTATTATATAATAAAATAATTCAATGTTTGCTTAAATTTATTTTAAAATTGAAATAAAATAAATTAAAATTTCATGTGTTCGCCCTGTGGAGCCTACCTAGCGGACTCAAGTACTCCAGCGTGCCACGCACGTATCTTCGGGGTGCTGGAGGATTAATTGTGCCAAAAAATTTTCATTCACTGGATAAATTTTATACAAGCTCCAATTGCAAAATTAAAATAATAAAAGGGGTAATTAGGAAATTAGAAAATAGTTTTTCCTATTTTCTTTTACAAAACATTACATCCAATAGCAATTAAAAAGAGAGAAACCTAATGAGAAGAAATAGAAAAAAATCAATAAATTTAATATCCAATTAAAAAAAAAAAAAAATCTACACAAACCCAATTCAAGACCTATATAATGTCATAAAATATACACAATATGGAGAATTGAGGAGCGGATGTCAATGAAAATGAAGTGTAGATGTTGTCACGATGAAAAAATGTCATTTATCATGTCGGATGCAGAATAACAATTTTATCTAAAAACTCGAACGTTTAGAAAAATGCAGTCATTAATTATTTATTCGAGATTGAGCATCCCATAAATATAAAAATTAAAAAACAAAGTTTAATATAATCATTGATCATTGGCCTATATCAATTCAATAAATGCTGAATTTGACAAAAATAGAGTACAATATCCATAAGCTAAAAATGATTTTATTCATTCCATCACTATGAATATTACAAATTATTGGCTATACTAGCCTTATTAAATCAAGAAAAAAAATATCTTCTAACTCTTAAATTAATTTTATTCGAGAAATCATCACCGTATTATATGCTTTATAAAACTATGTTATATTATGTTATTTTCGCTCTTGTATTGTATTTGTATTATATTAATATAAATGATATTATGTGAATTTTTTATTGGTGGTATTTGAGAAATCGGCGTAATGTAGTGCTGATTTTTTCATACTGTGTTTTATAGGAGTATGCTATATTATATGCTCTTCTGTTTGTTCTTGTGTCTGTATTGTATTTGTATTATATTAATATAAATTATTTACTATTTGTAAACTCTTGATTGATGTTATTTAAGAAATCAACTTGATGATTCCCCGTAACTGAACCATAATTTTACAATTCTTTTATGAATTAAAAATTATGGTATAAGAAAATTGTAGTTAAAACCAATATGAATAACCTTACTCTATATGTACTATTGAACCCCATTTGAAAGGACACAAACAACAATAGTATAATTAATTAGAAAATTAAAAGGTAGTGAGATATTCTTGATAAAGATACCTAATTCTTTACATAGAATCTTTATAAAATTCAAAACCTTAAAATTTATATAAGATCTATTACAATATATCTCTCCCTCACAAGTTTCCATTTGCAAACAACTAATACAACCGTACACAAAGTGCTATGGCAACTAACAACTTATCCAAATAATAATACTATCTTCGTCCCAGAAGAGTACCATGGGTTTTTTTGCGTGTTGATATTTGAATATTATTATTATTATTATATCAATACGTACTACAAATCAAGAAAAAATGACAAAAATACCTCTATTAGTTTCTTATAATACAAATATAATGACATTTGTAGAGTAAATTATACAAATATAAAGATATTTTTAATATTAAATACAGTGATGCAAAAGACAAATTGTACTGATTTTATGAGACGGAACTAGTATAACAAAAAATAAAGTGCAATAGTAAATTCAATAAATGTATAGAACCTATTATGCATTCAATAAACAAGTTGACCTTTTACAAAAATAAATAAATAAATAAATTTTAAAAAACAAAAAAAAAAACTCGACCTTTTATAAGAGAAAATTTAATTTTCTACACTCACTACATATATATATATATAATGTGTCATTGTCTTACTCGAGTTACATGATTTGCAGGCTATTATACTCCGCACTAAAAAAAACATATTATTTAAAAAAATAAAAACAAAAATTTATCTATAACGTTAGAAAACACACGATGGAGGTTTGGGAAGAAATTTTTGGATTTCATAGAGACATTATAAATGTGAAATAATTATTTTATATAATGTAATACAAAATTATTTATAACTTAGTCTACATATCATTCTCTGTTTTAGAAATCAAGCAATATTTCCTTGTATTTGGAAAAATAGAGCAAATTATTTTTGTGTGACCTATATCTAATACAAAAAAAAATACATTATAAAAAAACATAAAGTGAACATAATTTAAATTTTTTTTAAAAAAAAATGTTTAGAGGCAACCTCAATGCGATATTTGTTTGAAGTTTTTGTGATTTAAACTTGAATACAAAATATACAATTATAAAATATTTATATTCAATTCGTTAAAGTCGTATTCAAATTAGTTAGGTAACCAAACAAATCCTAAATGCGAAAAATTATTCATGTGAATCCTCCAAAGAATTTAGTATTGCACAATTGGTTGAGCTATTCTCTTTACATTACGAAGTTACGATATTATTTTATTATGTAAAATATATTGTTAGTAATCTTAAAATAAAAAATAATATAGATGATTAAAAAAAATTCAAAATATGTATTTAAATATTTTAAAAATTATATCTTAATAAAATTTATAAAATATAAATATTATTTTGTAGAGGATAAAATTTCATATAATATAAATAAATAAAAAAATATTTATTTATTTATGATGAACATAAACTAATTTTATAAGAGAATTAATTTTTTTTTATCATATATAAAGAATATATCATATGTTATGGGACAGAGAGAGTATTTTTTTTTATCATTTTTTACTCTTGATATTAAAACATTTTTATTAAAAGATTACTTGTCAATTCTTTACTCTTGATATTAAAACATTCTTACTAAAAGATTACTTGTCAATTCGTACCCAGTTACTCAAACTTCACTAGAACGTTGAATACACTTCACTAGAAGGTAGAATACTTCTGAATGTAGTTACTCAAACTTCACTAAAATGTAGAACATTTCTAAATCTAGTTACTCAAACTTCATTAGAACGTAGAACACTTCTAAACCTTCAATGCTTCTGGAATTTAGGAAAGAATAAGGAGTCTTTTGCTTGCTCCTCCCCTTGATGAAGTGAAGGCCTTCTATAGGAAGAGGCATGGGTCTTTCGGTAAATAAGGAGGAACTGATGTGTAAATGTCACGAGGGTTTTGTCCATTCGTGAAAGGTGGTGGTAGTCTGGTTGACCATCATTCCTTATTTGGTAAGTGAGATATGTGGTATATAGATAGTAGAGTATATTTAAGTTTTTTTCTCTGGTATGTTAAAATTGTGTCACAATTGGTCTTAGGATGGTATCTCTCGTATGATGTGGAATGTTGACAGCAATTTTTTTTTTTCATTTCACTATTACCGAACCATGTGTCGTTGGACTGGCTTGTTGAATCATCTGAGCCTAGCTGCTTTTGTATTATTCGAATGGTTTCCTATGGTGTTTTTGCGGCTGCGATGAGAGAAGCAATATTGAACTGTTGTTCTTGGAATTGTTGGCTTTGCTATAATCTGCTTTGCGCTTGTATCTTGGGCAATCCAATACTCAGAAGTGTTCTACCTTCTAGTGAAGTCCTAGATTCAGAAGTATTCAACGTTCTAGTGAAATTTGAGTAACTAGGTACGAATTGACAAGTAGTCTTTCAAAGTGTTCCAAAGTTCTTACTTCTTAATTGAGTCTATATGTCTTAAATCAATTTAGTTTATGTATAATCAATTATGCATTTATACTACTCCCCCGATCCCAAACACCCTACAACATTTTGATTCGTCCTAAATTTACTGCAACATTTTTAAATTTAGAAATAATTAATAATATTTATATATATATATTAACATACACTTCACTTTATCCCGCAAATAAAAAAACAAATAATCATTTTTCTCTCCAATCACATAACTTAATATCAAAATTATCTCAAATTATCATACTTAATACTCTCCACCTAAATTTCCGTGTTCGGGACGAATGGAGTATATTAAAAAAATATTACTCCCTTCCGCTTCTAACATTATACTTAACACTAAAAATATTATTATATTTTTATAATTTTTTCTTATAAAAAGTAGATAAGATCCTTAAAATCTAAGTACTATATTTTAATCTACTATTAAAAAATTACAAAAGAGTAATAACAATAAATTACTAATCTTGATTACAGCAAAAGAACCACCAGGGAAACGGTAGTCCTAGCCACCACCATCTGGCCACCGTAAAAGAGTCCGCCGGCGCCGCCCCCCGCCGCCGCTCTCCAGCCACCATGATAGGCCGCAGAAACAGTCTCTTGGTCGCCAAATTCCTTACACAATCTTTCCTGTCGATACCTGCATCAGTATATCAAATTGTATCAATAATTATCCCAATCAATCAATTCATTAAAATTTCTTCAATTTGGATCGATCCACGATGCTGATCGATGATAATATATAATTAATTACTTACATTTTCGGCTAACTTTGGTGTAATAGAGAGCGTATTGGGAAGGGTGGGAGGAAGAGTAGAGAGACAGTAATTGATAGCACTGAAGATCCTCCCCCGCCTGCAGCGCCTCCAAAATTAGGGTTTCGACGCTCACGTCGGAACACACCTTCACGTTTATTTCTGAAACATTCTTTTCTCCGGCCACCAAATTAATCCGAAACGTCGTCGTCTTAGTCGTCGTCATTCTCAACCCTGAACCTAGCCACCTAGCTAGGGCTACGACTGTGTGTGTGTTTTTAGATTATTAGATTTGGCCACATACTGCTACATAAAATTTTGAATAAATTGAAATAACTTAACATTTAATATATAAAGATAGATCATTTATGGGTTGTTAGAATAACAAGCAGATAAACTTAGAGTTTGTTAAAATAACAAATAGTATAAGGAACTATATATATATTATTATTACTATTATTTCACTGTGATTTTACTATTATAATATTCAGATGGTGTATTCAATTCTGATTTTGTATAATTTTGTTGAATTTTCAAAATTTGTTATATTCAATTTAGGCTTTTGAAAGTCTTTTAAAAATGAGAGGTATTCAATCAAAATTTTTAAATATTTTTTAAGTTGTGTTCCTTGTGAGTTTTACAACATATTTTTACTATTCATATACAATTATTATTTTTTTAATATTATACTACTACAAATTAATTTTACATTCAAAACATCACATCAATCTCTATTTATATCACATCAAACAACTATTCAAATTCAACTTTTTACTACTCCCTCCGTCCCACATACCATGTCCACGTTGCCTTTTTTCTCCGTCCCACATAACATGTCACTTTCTTTTTTTTGGAAAATGATTACACACTTTAATCTCATTTTAAACTGTTTAATTTTATTTTTTTTTTAATTTTAATTAAACTAATTATTTATCTTAATCTTAATTTATAATTATTTATATTATCCGATAATTATTTTCACTAATATATTCTTAATTATGTACTAATTACACCCCTCCTAAATACAGTGTCTACAATGTAGCATATACGGTATGTAGAGCAGGGGGAGTATTAAAAATCAAACCTAAAAATTAAAACCCACGAACAAACATACCCTTTCACTACAAAAAAAAATAGTATATTTGTAACGGAATTCCGTTCCTAAACTTCACGTAGCTAACGTAATTTCATCTCTAATTCCGTCTCTAATATCATTAGTAACAGAAAAGTGAATTTAAAAACGGAAAAATTTCGTTACAAAATTGATAATTTCTTGTAGTGTTTAAATATGAAGCTATTCAATCCAAACTTTTTAAAATCTTTTAAAATTCCGATGTATTCAACAATTCATATACTTTTAAAGTCTATAGACTTTATTGGATTTTGATGGAAAATAATAGAATATTTGTATAATATAAATTCTCTCATGATAAGTAAAGATTTTGAAGGATTGTTAAAATTTAAAATTATTATTATTATTATTACTATTATTATTATTATTATTGTTGTTGTTGTTATTATTGTATACATGATAAATAATATGATAATATTTATTAATATTATTATAGTTTTTAAGAAAAAAATAATTTCAAATTAAAATGTATTAGCGAATTATTATCATTTTTTAAAATATATATTTTTATATTATAAATATAATATTTAAAAATACTATTATCATAATAAATATATTTTATTATCGTCTTTTCTTTTCAATTATCGAATACAATATATTATAATTCTAGTGTCATTCTCCCTATTCAACTATCAAATACACTATATTGTCATATCGGTAACAATTGAATAAATATTTATATATATTTTTTCGTTGAACCGTTAGTTTATCTTTATTTACTTTTTTATTTTAATATTTTTTTAAAAAATTCGTAAATTATATTTTTTACTTTATTTATATACATATTTATTTTCTCTGTATAAAACTATATAAATAATAATAATAATAACTAATAAAAAAATATAAAAATAATTTGATATATTAAATGATTATATAATACTAAAAACTATAAAATTAAAAATATTAATATACAATATAGTAGAGTTATGTATCTTATAATATTGTTTTACATTATTAATAAATATATATTATTTATTTATTATTTTTTTTTATAGAAATATAATAATATATAATAACTTTAATTATAAATATATTATATTTATAAAACTTATGTTTCATATAAATTTATATAACTGTATATATCAATATAAAAAATATTTTTCAATCCTACGAAATCTATATAAATTCATAAAGAATTTAATCAAATTTGTAAAAATTTATCTAATTAATTATTAAAATAAATCAAACTCAGCTTAGTGGATTTAGAAAATCCACGGAATCATAAACTTTTTAAAATTCAAAACAATACATTGAAATCTCAATTGAGATTAATTTTGTTTTTTTCTTCTACAGTTTTTTTACTTATTGATAGTGGAGTTATAGTTTTTTTTTAAGTGTGCTAATTTTGTATGGAGTGGTTTTTAGGGTAGAAGCTATATCTTAAATTAAAATTCATTTATACTGTAACATAAAGTTTTATTTCTTCTTCATTTTCTTACCGTTTCCTGCTATTTGAGTCATACTCATTTTTGTTAGTTATATTTTTTGAATTTTTATATAGTTTTTTAAGCCGTGTTTTTTTATGGCAAAAGAAAAATCTTTGTAATGGAGAAGATTGTCATCGGGAGCAGAAGTCGATTTCTTGAAATAAGTTTTTAAATAAAGTTTTATTGAGCTTCTGTATAGTTTACACGGTGTTTTTTTTATAGCAAAAGGAAGATTTGAAACTAGAATCCATTTCTACGGTAAGTTTTTTTTTTTTATCTTTTAACAGAAAGTTTTATTTCTTTGTCATCTTTTTACTGTTTTCTACTATTTGATTCATACTTATTTTTATTAATTATATTTTTGAAATTCTATATAGTTTTTTAAGACGTGTTTTTTTATGGTAGTAATAAAATATTTGTACTTGAGGAGATTGCCACCGGAAGTGGAGTCGACTATTTGGTTATTTATAATTATATTATATATATAATAGGGGGAATTTTCATTTACCACACTAAATTGGAGAAAAATAAAATTCACTCAATTAAATAAAGTAAACTAAAATGAAGATGATCGATTTACCAAAGATGATTAACCTCTAGAATAAGCATGAATTTTCTATTCGGGATATAAAATTCATTTATCGACTAAAAAGCAAGTTCAATAACTAGTTGGATAAGTTGGTTATAGTTGATCTACACGCGTTCATGACCAATCTTTTCTTACTTTTTCGATAGCTAAGGTACAACCGTTAGTTATTTTCCTAATCGAGTGAAAATCCTAAGTACAACCGTAGTATTACTGACTCGACAACATTAAGGACTATAAATGTCCATTTCAATTTAACAAAATTCCTATGAGGATTTTTTCAAATTGATTTAAATTCTTCCTTAAAGTATTTTTCCTCTAGGTTGCTACACCAATTGGAATATTACACAATAACGGGTGTGAATCTCCAATATAGCTATGAAATCTCAAACCAATATGTGCGCAATAATCAATTTAAGATTTCTAAACTCGTAAATTAGACGAATTAAAATACCCAACATCAATGAACACCAAATTCAACCAAAACCAAATCTGATAAATTCAATCCCAAACATCAACTCACACCTATATTAGAAATGAATTACTCACAATCCATCGAAATTGAAAACATAAAACAAATAAAAAAGTTGATTATGCCTTCAATTTCAGGAATCGACAACGTACCAATTCTAGGAATAAAGCAGAAATGCCCGGAAGTTCTATCTGCACCGCTCCTTGGAGCTCTTTTCTTCTCCCTCCAAAGATTAGTGTCATAGGTTGAACATGATGATGTGTTTCCTCCCACTCTTCTTCAATTGCACGCCACTCTCTTTTAATTTCTCTAATCCATGATCCCCTTTGAAATTAAAATCTAACCATGAAGGACTTCTTTATAATTTATCATTTTCCACATTGTACTCTCCTTAAGCGTGATTACCCCTAAGACTATTCTACGGTGGCTCCTTTTGTCCACAACCTGCCCAAAAATTTGTCAACTCCATAATACTTAGTAAACAATCCAAAAATTACACCACTATGAGCATATATACAAAAGTCGCACACAAAAGTCGCTCAAAATATAACAAAATATTCATCATATATAGTACATATCACCAATAACAAACAAACATGCTCAGAGAATGTTACTGTTCCGTCATACATATAAATATAATGGTGAAATATATATATATATATAATATAGTCCATCACTTAAACCTGATCAATATATCATAACTAATGCGTTATATAAATCATAAATAGGAATCATAAAATAAAATATATCATAACTATACGTGCAACATCCCTATATGCAACTTACATCATTTATATTTGATGTATATATCATCATGTCTATTGAAGTTATATATCATACTTATAAACATAGTGATGAAGAATATATCTAACATAATTTATCATTTAAACTTGATCAATATATCATAACTATATAATGTATAAATCATAAATAGGAACCATAACATGAAATAAAAGCATGTATAATAACGTTCAGTATCATTAGTCTATCATGAGTTAAACAACATATATGTTCTCAATATAAACGTACGAGTTCGAAGACTAACAAAGAGATTTTTAGGAATAACTGTACGGATATATATATTTTTTTTCTAGAAGATACTATTCAAGAATGCACATTTACGCACGATCACCATAAAAAAATAACGCAATACTGAAAACAAAGCCATCTAATCTGTTCATCGTCAACTAGTCCTATCTCTCCCCTTCCCCTACCTCACACCTCGCACAACAGGGGAATCGAGACGGAAGTGACAAACGTGTTTGACGGTGGCTGGCGCGACTAGAGATGTCGTTGGCAGTGGTCGTCAACTGTGAATGTGTAAAATTGAGGGTGGAGCTTGGAGGCGACAAGCGTGTTTGACGGCATTAGGCGCGGCCTGGGATGTTGGTGACAACGGTCGTCAACAACGGAGGTATAAATATAAGGGGATTTGAGGGCGGAGGCGGCTAGCGTGTTTGACGAAGGCAGGCGTGGCAAGAGATGTCGCCGTTGATGGTCGCAAATGCATGGTCGACAGGCAAGGCGATGGGAGGAGGAAGAGAGTCTATGCACAATAAAATTAAGGTTGGTAAATAAATCGGGGGTGGAGAGAGTGAAAGAATTATATAATTAATTGTTATTATCTTTATAATAAATAATATGCGGGTTAAAAAGATACATCATAATGTATTTATGAAAATATCATTTCAATAAACTATATATGGAGTGTATGCCGTAATAAAACATCATAATAACATTGTAAAGACATCATATGTAATAACCGTATGCATCATTATATTTTGAATATGGCGGACCGTGCTGACAACACATGTGCTATCAGACAACACACAATGTTACTACAAGCAACATACCGTATGCATTCATGTAATACAAGTACAACATATAAATTAACAACACATGCTATAGTCTTATACAACACAAACAATAGTTGATTTCAGCACACCGCATATTGTTAGACAACACACTTGTAATGATGAACCAACAACACAAATACAACACATTAACTAACATCACATGTTATAGTCTTATACAACACAAATAATAGTTGATTTCAACATACCACATACTGTTACAAACCAACAATACATGTCTTTACTATACAACATGTGTTATGTATAATAAGACTGTGTGTTATTTATATATATATATATTACGGATGATGATTTGAAAAATCAACACGATACTGAATTTTCCAAATCAGCACCATAACCGTTCCCTTTAAATATATACAATTTAGAAAAGTAATTATTTACAAATATTTTTATTTTTAATTAAAATCGACTTCCTCATTATATTGGAAGTAGTTAAAGATAATTGAATTTTTTTTAATTAAAGATATTAAATTATTTTTTAAAATATCCAAAACAACCCCCAATTAAAATTAATAGTTGAATTGCCATAAAATTAACCAAATAATTAAAATAAATTCAGGATTTCCTTAATTTTATATAACATGATGAAGATACCAATATTTATATTAATATGGTTGTAAATATATATATATATATATATATTAATTATGCCAGTTCTTACAAATTTTTATTGAAATGATTTGATTTTCTATTGAACTATATATATCACATTTACTCAATGTTTGAATTAAAAAAGCAGATGTTTCTTTAGTCGAATTTTCCCAAATTTGTATATTTGGACTCAGTATTTTTCGAAAAAAATATATTTTTTTTTCTCACAAAATATTCCATCAACTATTATTTTCATACCAAATTCAAATAACTTTTTTTCCAAACTCATCAAAAGAAACACATATAATCATACAATTTATCGATTTTATTTTATTTTATTTAAAAAAATAATGTTTAAATATATTTATTTTAATTCAAAATTTTATTATTTTTGGAATAAACTTTATACTACAATAAAAATTGTGACAATATCCTTAATGATTATAACCATTAAATTTAATTGAATTTGTTATCTTACTATTAATAATGACAATTAAGTGGCCAATAATTAGAATTATTAAGTATCAATCTTCTCTCATAAATATTGCTCGATTTACACATATATTTTAATTTTTTTATATTATAATCAATATTATTTTAAGGAATATCATATTAAATAATTCTAAATAAATATTATATCAAATACTCAAATTTTTATTATTTTCAATTTTTTTTAATACTATAAAAATTAAAAACATTCAATGTAAATGAACCTAAAACTTGACCAAATAACTATTGTCGAAGGCCCTGTCTAATTTTGTTACCACGTGGGATGTTGGAATTTATTAGTTTATTTTGTATTTCCTTAAAAAAATAGTAATAACTCAAAATAAATTTTATTTATTTATATGTATGAAAAAAAAAAAATAAAAAATTGTTACTACTAATGTCCAAAATACATAAGTGTATCCATGGCCCCTCCTAAGGACACTACTAGGGTTGGTCTTATTGGTGATTTTTTTTTTTCAAATTATTTTTTTGTTTATTTTTATTTTTTTATAAAAATATTATATATTTATTTTTCTAAAATATTACATTTAAATTATTATTTAAAATAATAAATAAAAAAATAAACATACTATTGGAATCCTTTACAATAATATAATGATAATAATAACTAATTAGATTTTCATAAAGATGAAATATTAAAAATATATGTATAATCAGATTCCAATTTAAAATGAACTATTTTCACCTGTATTTATTTTTTGTTTCTTAATATGTAAACAATTTGTTTTATTATTTTAATTTAATTTAAAATAAAATTATAAAAATTATATGTAAAAATTTGAGAGATTTCAAACTAATAGTATTAAAGAATTATATAAAAAAAACAAGGGTGTGTTTTTTTTTTTTTTTTTACATAAAAAAAACTTTACGCTTCATTCCACAATGTTTCAAAGAAAAATATAATGTGTTTGTTTTGTGAGATAATTTTTTTTTTATGTGAAAGTATAGAGAATTATGTAGGAATATAAAAGTAATGAATATATGTAACGTGGAGTAATATTTTTGGAAAAATATGTATGCATTTTTTTATTTTTTTTAAAGAACATACTCATGGATGTGTTTGTTTTGTAAAATTATTTAAAGATGTTTTTTTTTTTTTTTTTATGTGAATCACAAAGAATTATGTAGATAATATAAAAATAATAAATATATATAATACTCCCTCCGTCCTATATCTATATATCTATTTGCTTTTTACACGGAGTTTTAGAAATATTAGTATTATATTGAGATGAAGTAGAAATAAAAGTAAAAAGACTAAATTAATCATATTAGTATTGTATGATATAAAGGTAATAATATTTGTATAATATATTGTAACTTGAAAGTGTATTTGTAATGTTAGGTAGATAGACAGTACAATTACTAAAAAATAAAATAAATACTTTGTTATAGAACGGACCAAAATGAAAAAATAGATAGATTGTTAATGGACAATATATTAATTTTTGTTTTGTAAATATATGTAGAATTTTTTACAAAAAAGAGCACATCCTATATTTTGATCGAAAAGCAGAATAATAAACCTTTTAAATAAATTCAAAGAAAAAAAAAATATATTAGGTGTATTAATCCAAAAATAAAGATACTCACAAAATATGTATAATACATTTATAATAAATGTGTTCTATCAACTTAAAAATTAATTATTTAATATAAAATATTAATTCTTCCGTCCGAGGTGAATTTTCTATTTAATTTTTTTGGCGAATTAATAAAAAATAATATTTTATAAATATATAATATAATAAAATAATGTAAAATATCATTTTACTTTTGAAAAATAATATGAAAAATAAAAAATAAAAATACGTTGAGAGTTATTTTTTTAAAAAAAAATGAAATGAAAAATTTTATTTTAAATACACACTAAAATGAAAAATAAGAAATTTAATAATGGACAAAAAAATATATTTCTTATATTATGTTAATCATATCTAGCGTCAAACACGTCTCAAACTAAAAATATTAATCAAATAAATTGATTATTTATTTGTTTTAAAAATTCAAGTACCCTCTAATATTTGTATAGATAATTAATATGGAAAAACGTGTGTAATTATTAATTACTACATATATTAAGTCTGCAAATAAATTTAAATTTATTCTGAAATAATGATTAAATAAAAAAAAAATAACAAATTTTGACTGGTAATAAAAAAAATATCCATAATAGCAATCAATTACGAGAGATGCATCATAAGCAACAAAACGATTATTTATTCTAATTCTCTTTTATACTCAATGAGTCTGTTTTACATTATATTGAGAAATAATAATATTTTATTAATTAATAGAATGGTAAAAGGTAGTATATATAATAGTATATTTATAATTTATGTAAAAATTAAAAGTATTTTGATATTGATGTATAATTATTTTTATTAAAATTTAAAAAAAAAACTTTAGAGTATGAACGAACAAAAATAATAAAAATAGTACACCCTCCATCCCATGACAAAGTATCTATTTTTCTATTTTAGTCCGTCTAATAACAAAATATTCATTTCTTTTTTTAGTAACGGTACTATCTACCTAACATTACAAATACTCTTACAACTTACAATATATTATACAAACGTCATTACTTTTATATAGTATATAATAAAATTATTTTAGTTATATCTATTTTATTTTTATTATATATTAATATAATATTAATATTTTTAAAATTACGTGAAAAAAACAAATAAATACTTATGAATTATTTTTAGTCCACACGAAAAAAAGTATAAAAATATTTATTTATAAAAAAAGAATAACTTTGCTCACATTAGAAGGCACACTCACCCGGTCACAGTGTGGGCCCATTTGACCGGTACATTCAAACCGAGTGGACCCATCCAGATCTCATCCGACGGTGGAGAACATTTCATTTCCTGCACCCGCGTCGCACTGGATTACTCCCATACTGTCATAATTCAGACAGAAGCCCACAGTCATAGATTACAGAGAGGATTAAAAAAATGGAATAAATAAATATAAATTAAAATTAAAATTAAATAAATAAATAAATAAAAAGACATTGAAGAAATTCATTCTCTCTCTCTCTAACTCTGCCCCTATCTTCTTACCCTATCTGCTGAAAGCTCTTTCCCTCATTTTTTTCCCCTTTGTCTTAAATTCTCCCCGTTGTCCCAATTTCTCACCCTATTTTAAAAATGAACCCTCTTCGGAATATCCCAATGGCCTCCTGCTGCTGAGGATTTTGGTTTTAGGGTTTGTCTTTCTGGTAAGTATCGAATTCTTTCCTCCATTTTTACTTTCTTGCATTTTCGACCTAGTTTTTGTCATGTCTTTTTCCGCTCACTGCTGCCCAAAAGTAAAAAATAGAGCACAATTTTTTTTTAAAAAAAAAAAAAACCGAAACTTTTAAATTTTTTGGGGGTTTATCACTTTGGTGCATGCATTCGTTGCTAGGGGCTGTTTGGCTGCTCAAAAAATGGAGGTGAAAATGGATTTTGAAGGGCATTTTTTGGGATTTTTTTTCTTCTCTTTAATTGAGGACGTGGTTATGAATTTGGGTTTTTTTTTTTAATTGTTTAATTTATTTTGGTTTGTTCTTCAATTGCTGAAGATATTTGTTTGTGGGGGAGAAATGGAGGCACTGTTTTTGTGTTTGCGTAGGGTTTTGGGGCAATGGTTGTCTGAAAGTAATAGCGGCCGTTTTATGATGGTAACGTAGAAACGTCGTCGTTTGGTAGGAAAATGGGAAAAAGGTTTTAGCTTTTCAATTAAGCAAAACGAAAAAAAAAAAGGGAAAAAAAAGGAAACTCCATTTGTTGATTCTAGTTTTTTTTTTTTTTTTTTTTTTTTTTTTTTTTTTTTTATGAGAATTTGAAAAATAAATAAGAAAAAAGTTTGCCTCTTTTTTCTTCCTAATATATTTTCGAATTTGAACCCATTGTAATATTCTTGTTCCAAAATTTGTTGTAATCTATATTTCACTTTATACACCAATTTTCAGTATTTTCTTAGATTATATTATGTAAAGAAAATTACTTGCATCAAGAACAACATTATTGCTAGTTCTAAATGATTCCCATATTTCTATAGCTCTCATTGTAAAGGAAATTGTCAATTGTGTTTCGAATGCATCCACATTTCCATAGCTTTCCAAATTGCGATATTATTTGTATCGATGAGTTAGGACTAGCCTTTGTTCGGTTTAGGTTTGGATTAAAAGGTAATTGTCAAAACATTTTGAAGTCATATGAAATAAATTTGTGTCCGGTTAGGGCTATTGATTCTTCATGCTCTTCGAAACGGGCCTCCAATGTATCCGAATCATTAACTAAAACTTTCTTGCATTTTATCTTTTGTGTTCGGGTTTACATTTCTTTTTCACCATTAAAGCTCCCATTTTTCTTACAACATAGTAACCTTAGTGCCATGCAATTGTAATAACATGTGATTGATATTTACCTTGTTAGTTATATTAATATTATTGATGATCATATACATCGCTTTTGTGGATTATACTAATGGGATTCGTATTTACATATTGTTAGAACATGGAACTTCCTCAGAATTGGGACGGGATAATGAGCGGGGCGACAGAGGACGATGAGTTGGACAACATACTTAACGGTATTTTGGATTTTCCGATGGAAAGTTTAGAAGCAGAAGGGCTTGCAGGAGATTGGGATTCGAGCAAGTCACACTATCTCGGACCCATTCCATCTGATGATGTCCTAATGGGATCGTCGGTGATCGCTCATGCCAAGACCGACCTACAACATCCGGTTCCATTTCCGTTTCCATTCCCCTCTCAAGTGAGTTCTATAACTTATTTTTTGTTGTCTTTTCATTAAATAAACGGAGATGAATTTCATTATTGATTTAGACCTAGCTTCCAGACATTTTGATCGATTAACTTAGAATCATACATTCTTCTACTTATATTTATGAATGTTTGAACATTTTCTCACATTTCTTCATTTTAGATAGATATTATTCTCCCTTTTCTTTCTATCTCATTTTATAGAACTTTGTAAGTCTAATATTTGTTGATAAATGATTTAATAAACTTTGTTATAACGACACATTTTATGAAAAGTTGTCGGTCGGAACATAGGAATGAAACGAGAATGAAGTCACTTTAACCGTAGGTCTTAGTTATTAATCAGTGGCATTTATTTATTTTTTATTTATATAATTTTAGCCTTTTAAGTGGACACTTATTCGAAATTGTTTTGTATCTCATTTTTTGTTGCTCTAATAGTTCAAATTTTATGTTGCGACAGTCACGCATTCATCGAAAATGGCATGTTGGGGTCCACAATGCATGTTTAAGTGCAACATGGACAATTAGGACCATTAGAGTGAACATGAGGGTGATAAAGGCTATTTTACATATATAGTGCCCATTTAAAGAACCAAAATGATAAAGGACTTCGGATCCAAATTGTATCTCTTTTTCGATATATAATTATTAATTTTTAATATTTTTACCATCAATAACATATTTGAATAAAAGTTACATATTGATGATAACTACATGAATTGCAATATATAATAAAACATATATATATATATTAAAACTTATTTAGTTTTAATATTCTGTTACTAAAAAGTATATACTTAGTAATAATAATAATAATATTATTATGATTATTATTTAACTTTGTATTTTTGCTTTTAGATATCTTCCATATGAAGTAGTTGTTAGATGTAATGTTTATTTAGAGAAATTGGGAGATTGAATAGTAAAAAGTAGAAAAATAAAACACAAGCAAATATACACTTTTACTTAGTGATTTTTTTTTTTTTAAAAGATTTTAATTTGAAGAGAAGGTTGGATGGGATGTTTTATAAGATGAAATGATATATTTTTATAGAGAATACAAAGATTGCAAAAAAAAAATAAATAAATAAATAAATTGAAAAAAAAAAGGAAATCTCAAAGTAAACAAAGTCTTTGAGCATTTTTGGTTAATATTTATAATTCTAAGTGTTTTTGTTGTGAGGTATGAGAAATTGTGAAAATATTACTCCCTCTGTCCCACGTACCATGTCCACGTTACCGTTTTTGTCTGTCCCACATACCATGTTACTTTCATTTTTTGGAAAATGATTACACACTTTAATTTCATTTTAAACTTTTTAATTTTTTTTTTTAAATTTTAATTAAACTAATTAGTTATCTTAATCTTAATTTATACTTATTTATATTATCGGATAATTATTTTCACTAATACATTCTTAATTATTTACTAATTATATCGCTCCTAAAATACCGGGTCTACATTGTAGCAAACACGGTATGTGGGACGGAGGGAGTATTAAAAAAATGATAATTTTGTGTATTTTTGTTGATTTTTATTGTTAGGTGTATATATATTATTCTCTCCGTCCCAAGAAAGTATCCATTTATTTTTTTTAGTGGATTAAATAATAATAGTATTTTATTAGTTAGTGAAAATGTGTAAATATTTGCATATTGATTACTTTTACTCTACTATGAAATGGATACTTTTGAGTGGATGAACGAAAATAATAAAAATGATACATTGAGTTGGGATGGAGGGAGTATATATTTTTAGGTAATATTTTTGAGGAATCGTATAGGAATGAAACACTCGGTGAACATACTCTTTGTTTCCTATGAATTTTACTAACCTTAGTTACCTTCATAAAACATTTAAACAATCTCTTGCGTAATGTTCGTAGATAGTCTCTACTAAATTTCCACTTAAAACATTATTTCTACTAAAAGTATTTTTTCTTACATAATTTTTTGTTGATTTAGGCCCTATTTTTCGGGTTATTCGGACCAAATGAATTGGAGTTTCATTTGTGGATGTGATATGTTTCAAATAATTGAAGTTAGTTATGGATTTGAAATCCATCTCCTTTAACAATCCAAAGACCTCAATGCCATTTGTTTTGACTATGGATTTTAGGGTGCGTTTGGGTGGATAGATTTGGATTTAAAGTTAGATTTTAAGTAAATAGATTGAGAAATTACCTCGGATTTGAAATTAAATCCATTGTTGGGGCGATAAAGTATTTGAAATGACATAGTACTAAAGAGTATTTTAAAATATTAAGCGAGTGGATTTGAGTAGATTTTAAATCCATTGTATTGTCTTAACGCAAATTTCTCAACCAAACACGCCGTCAAATCGTAATAAAATCCAAACATTGTATTTGAATACCTATTATTTTAAATTTCGTATATTTCAATTTTGGTGATTTTAATTCATTTTCAAATCCATTTCATCCAACAAAATGTGATCTTAGTTTCTTCTAGCATTGTCCTTGCCTTTCCTTTTGTTTTATATTTCCTCTCACTTTTAACAAATTATCTCAATGCAATGAAGTTTTTGAATATATATTTACATAATTAGTACGTTCGTGAAAGTGAAGTGATTAAAATGTGCAATACTTATATAAACAATATGTGTGTAAAATATGATTGATTCTCCTTAATGTTTAGGGTATGTTCACTTGTCCCCTTGTTTTGATGTTTTTTTAGGTGAAATAGTCGTCGGACGTGATTACGTAAAATTTGAAACTATAAACACAAATGATCACTATTATATTTCCTTTAAATTTGGCATCATAAATTTAACGAATATTCGATCTGTTTCAGATGGACCCGGAGCCAAAGCCGGCACTCTACCAATTTTCGGACTCTTCAGGCTCGTGCGTTCCTCAACCAAACAAATACAACATGGTCTCGGAGCAAGTTCTATTCCAATCGCCGAGCCCGGTTTCGGTGCTCGAAAGTAGCGCCTCCTCGTCAGCCGGAAAGGCCTGTTTACCGCAATCCCGCATCAACAAACGCGTGAGATCAAGACGATCTAGACCATCCGGCGCGAACCCATGGGTTTCAGTGTTGCCGCTATTGACCTCCCGGAAGACTCAAAATGCGCGTAGGACAAAAGGGGCGAAAAAGAAGCAATCCCGGCTGCAGATTTCCGTTGAATCAGCAGCGGTGGTGGCAATGGACCCGACAACCGACGGGGTCGAGCCGCAAAATTCGGGGGCCATCAAGAAATGCACTCATTGTCAAGTGACGAAGACGCCCCAATGGAGAGAGGGGCCGATGGGGCCGAAGACACTGTGCAATGCTTGCGGAGTCAGGTACAGGTCGGGTCGGCTGTTCCCGGAGTACCGGCCGGCGGCGAGCCCGACATTCGTGGCGGCGGTGCATTCGAACTCGCACAAGAAAGTGTTGGAGATGCGGAACAAAGGGCAGGTTCATCAGGTGATGGAAATAATGAATGGTAATTGAATGTTAGGTTAATTTTGTGTTGTGGCCCGAATGAATGAATTAATGTTGTCGTGGTGAAGACAATAGTGTTGTGTCTGTGTCTCTGTGTCGTCTGTCTGTCTGTCTGTCTGTTGAATGTTTTCTTGGTAGGAGAAGAAATGAAAGTTAAGAAGAAAGGTTGGAGTACACTACTGATGATCATGATGATGATGATGATGATGATGATGATGGAGTTTTAGTTTTGTTCTCTGTTGGATTAATCTTGTTAATTGGTTGGTTCCTTTATTGGGTTTTTTTTTTTTTTTCTTTGTTGGTACTTTTTCCTTTTTGTTCGATTTTGGTTAGGGAATCATTCATTCTTTGTAGAGAAGTGTGTTGGAGGGATGAGACAGAGTCTTAGGTTGTTTAGGTGGGTGGAGAAGACGATACTTACAATACTACTACTACTATTTCTGTCTGAAAATGGGATTGCATGATATGCTACTATATATTAGTTTTTGAATTGACTTATTATCAGGTATTACTAATTTTGGGATTTTATTTTCTCTAAATTTTGGGATTGTATTTTTCGATAGGTTTTAATTAAGGGATTGTATTTTTATGATAGCCGTAATGATTGGTCAATTGTTTTCGAAAATAAGTAGTACTTTCATCGTCCATTACCAATTTATTTTTTTAATTTTATTTTGGTTCGTTCCATAATAAAGTATTTATTTTTTTAATAGTTGTATTTATACTGATATTAAAAATATTTTTACAATTTATTATATAAATATTAAATAGATAAGTGAGAGAGTGGGAGTATTAATTTAAATACGTGGCACAAGGCCTTCGAATGAGATGCAGAAAATTCATGTGTTTTAGAACCTTTTGTCTTCGAGTTCCATCGTCATCCTTTGTTAATAAATACATAAATATATATATATATATATATATATTAACGTGTAAGGATTGTATGTGATCAATGGCAAAAAGAAAAAATAAATAACGTGTAAGGATTGTATGTGATGAATGGCAAAAAAAAAAAAAAAAAAATCGAACCGAATTTTCGATTAATCGAGCAAATTTGGTTCGAATACAAATACTGCATATTTTTTCATTTCGGTTTGGTTTCGATTTTTTACTTTTTCGGTTCGGTCAACCGAACCAAATATATTTGTATATTTATATTATTATATTTTAAAATTTATATAAATAATTATATTCGGTTTGATTTCGGTTCGGATATTTGAAATATTTGTAAATATTTTGATTTAATTAGAATTTTAATTATTTTTTAATATAATTTTTTTTTTAATTTTGGTTCGGTTCGAATTATTTGCAAATATTGCAAATATTTTTGATTAACCAAAAATTTTTGATTCGGATACGATTCGCAATTTCGAATATTTCACTACAAAAAAAAAATAGTATATTTATAACGGAATTCCGTTCATAAAATTCACGTAGCTAACGTAATTCCATCTCTAATTCCGTTTCTAATATCATTAGTAACGGAAAAAGTAAATTAGGGAGCGAAAAAACCTCGTTACAAAATTGATAATTTCTTGTCGTGTTTGTTCGATTCGGTTTGGATATCAAATACATGCATATTTGCAAATATCCGAATCGTACCCACATAGATTTATCAATATCGTGTTGATTAAATATATACTTTTTAATCTATATAATTTAATATCTAATGGTCAATAATAAATAATATTAAATTTGTAATTTTATTATATAGTTTTGAATGAGTAATTAAACAGTCTTTGAAAAATAATTAAAATTGAAGCTATAGCAAAAGTGTTACTATAAAAGAGCACAACATTATCTTATAAACACAATACTTGAATATTTTTTTATTATTTAATAGTATTGCTTTTAAGCCATATCCAAAAAGAAAAAAAACAAAAAAAGATGGATGAGGAATCAATTTAAGAAACTAATATAAATAGCACAATATTAGTAATAAAAAATCATGATAATAATACCTTCTTCGTATTAGTAAAATAATTATTACTATATAATACAAATAATTATACAGGTTAAAGATAATTAAATAATTTAATTAAAATTTAAAAAATTTGTAAATTATAAAATTTAAAATGTAAAGTGTAATTATTTTTTAAAAACCAAAAGGAAAAAAAATTATGTAAGACAGAACAAAATTAGAAAAAATAGAAATTTTATGCGGACAGAAAGAGTATAAAGGAAATAATTGAAGAAAATTATATAAAAAAACCCAATGATTATACCACGGGAGCACAATAATTATATCGTAAAACCATAATAATTATATCAAGATAAGATAATACTCCCTCCGTCCCGTATAAAGTGTAGCGTTTGTTTTTTACTTGTAGATTTTTTAATATTAGTATTATATTGAATTGTAGTAAAAAAAGACGAAAACACCTTTATTAGTATTATAAAGATTGTGATATTTATGTAATATATTATAAGTTGAAAAGATATTTATTATGTTAAGTAGGTAGTACAATTACTAAATTAAAAAATATTACACTTGTTTTGGATCAGACGAAAATAAAAAATAAAATATTTTTAAAGGACGGAGGGAGTTTTAAATATAAAAGAGCACAATAATAATAATAATAATAATAATAATAATAATAATAATATAAGTATTGCAGGAGGGGGACGAGGATGATATGATTAATACTCTCCCGTCCAATTTCTATTGTCCTAAAGTATATTTGCACGGTTTTTTAGGTGATTGTCTTTTTGTTATGAATTGACAAATTTGTCATTAATTGTATGGTAGAGATTAAAAGTAATAAATAAATGAAGGGTAAAAATGTAAAATGTGTGTTTTAAAAAAAATAGGATAATAGTTGTTAAACGTCCCAAATAGAAAAGTGGGACATTAGTTTGTAGACGGAGGGAGTATGATATCTAGTCTAGGGGTCTGGTGTAATTGGTACAAAAGGTGGGGTTATGGTTGAAAGGTATTTTTGGTGCTAATGGGATATGGATGAAGAATACGAGGACTTGATTGAAATGACAATGGAATCTTGCTTATGGTAATGCCCTCATGCTTAAAAAAAAATGAGACAGATATTGAAGAAAATAATATGAAGCACAATAACTATATTACAAAGCACAAATATTATAATAGAAAAGCACAATTATTATATTACGAGAGAATAATATTAATTATGAAATAATATAATAAAAATAAATGAAAAGTACAAAAATTATTTCAAAATAATACAATAGTAATTTCAAAAAATGCACAATAAAATAATAACAAGATTCAGAGTGCACATAAATTTTCTCAAATCAATCTCAGAAAGAAAACTCAAATTTTGGTAAATTAAGCCAAATCATTCTTTAAATTTTCATTTTGTTTCACAAATTACTTTACTTTTTCATTCTAATAAATAAAAAAAAAGAAAAAAAAAAGAAAATATTAGACACGAGGAATGAACAATATTAAAATATCGAACTTGCCAAAAATAAATATTGATATCATATTCAATTTTTCGATATAATATGTACCGAGAGTTTCAATATATCAAAATTTTCAATATATTCAATATTTTTTAGTACGTAAATCAGTATTATAGATTTTTTCATCCATAATCCAAATGCAAAGAGAACCACCCTTTAATTCGACCATCTATTATACTTCATCTGTCCAGTGGAATATGTGCATTTGGTTTTTCTTTTTCTTTTTTTCCAGTGAATTGAAAAATAATAATATTTTATTAGAGAGTTAAAATGTGTAAAATAGTTTTGATATTGTTCCCTTGAAACTACTAAAAAATAAATAAATATTTTTTTGTAAATTAAGAGGTAGTTCAATATTTATAAATGATTATTTTTACTATAATTTTAAATGAATATTTTAAAAAAAAATAGACAAAAATAATAAAACAAATATATTGAGTTGATAAATTTTGAATATATATTATTTTAGAGTTTGATTTCTGCTTTTGTTTTTATTTGTTATTTTTAATTTTGACTTTAATAAAATATTCTATCAAATATATATATATATATATATATTATATAAATTATAAGGGTTGCATGGTAAAACAGTTTAACTCGAATTGGAAATCAACATAACCTAATATTTTGTTTTGTTTGAAACTAACTGAACAGAATTTTAGTCATATTTGTTTAAAAGTATTGGGCTTATTTAATCACTGGGTCGAACCCAACCAAAGGCTAATTTCCAAGTGGACACAATATTAAACCCATACTATTTTCATTAATTTGAGTAATAAATAAATAAAATGCCATCTAACGTAAAGCGGATACAAAGGTAATGACATTGGTGTAATATATTGTAAATTGGAATGGTATTTGTAATATCAGGTAGATAGTACAGTTATTTAAAAAAAATAAAAAAAAATGAATACTTTAATATGGGACAAACCAAAATAGAAAAATCGATAGATTGTTAAGGGACGGAGGAGTAATATTTTAATCGGTTTTCCTTAAGCCTTGAAATTGAAGTTTTTTGGAATTTTTAGGTAGTCAGTGATTAATCTTTTATTTAAGATTTGTTTTTAGAGAACAACGGAGGAAATAATAATAATAATAATAATTTATATTTTTACCTAACAATTAAATTAAAAGAAAAAAAATATAATATAATGTGATATTTTCTAAAAGAAGTTATTGAATATTATTAAAATCTTAAATGTATAACTAAACAAAGCTTAAAAAACACGAATGATTAAGTTGCTGAGTAGAAGTAATATGACTAGTACGATGAAAACAATTAATAAGAACATAATTTTTGTTATGTGAATAATTGTCATATGTTGTTAGTTCATATGTTATATTCGTATTATATTCATATAAATATTATAATGTTAAATTATATTTTATGCAATGTATATTTATATTTATATTTGAGGTGTTGTTAGCATCGTACTGCCCTATTTAAATAGTTTATTTATAATTTACATGACCCGTTAAATTATCAATTTACTATTATTTTTATTTCTATATATCTAAATATTTTCTTTACACATTTTACATAAATTTAAAGACTTTGTTGTCCAATAAAGAATAGCTTATTTGTGTAAAGGTAAGTTCTGAATTTCATAAGCTTATTTATATATTTCAAGTAGTATGAGATTGAAATATGTGCAATTCTTCAATTAAACATGATTTTTTAAGAAGTGATGCAATTTTTTAAATTTAATTAGAAATTAAATTTAATTAATGTTTCTTCCATTGCAAAGAAATTAATTTTTGTAGGATATTAATATCCATTCATGAGCACACAAAACTTATATCACTTGAATTGCACTAAATTCATCAATAATCCT